TACCAAACTGACGCATTACTCTATCAGGTTGATGCCACTCACATACCTGAAAACATATAAGTGGCACCACTGCCCTCCATAAGTCCATACCATCTCTACAAATAGGTGGTAATATATTGATGAGTTCCATATTGTATGGCACCCACACAATCTGTATGATGACATACAAAACAGATTAATAACAAAAAAGTACGTAATTAATATGTTATTTAAATAAGTAACTCAGCAAAAGTTGGCTATAATACCTCATCACGTGCTAGACAATCAAAAATATATTTGTAGTAGTGGACATCTTTCTTTCCCCTTCTGATACCGTGGGATAACCATATGCAAGTAATTGACCATAAAAACATGAAGCCAAACAAATAACATTATAGAACACCTACAAATGCGTAGTGCTAGCAATAACAATACCAACTTACCTAACACCGTACGGAAGATAAGGACGACTATAGGGAGGATTGATAGGTGCTATCTGGAGAAATCTATCCCAAGCCCAAATCACAATTAACGCAGTCAGTCCTCCAATAGCAACACGATCAATGTTGGTGGCCATGCATAGCTCTCGGTACAAATAACCTAGAACTGCAGAACCCCAACTATATTGACCGGTCAACTCAAAATCTTCAAGCAAAGGCAAGTACCTCACAGATACCCTATTGCTAGAGTGATCAGGAAGCATGAACCGTCCAATAAGCCTCAATATATATGCCCTAACAAACCGAGTAATCTGCAGTGGAGTCTGATTATGCATGGCAATATGAGTGAAGTGTTCGTCCAACCAGCTCATCTTCAAGAAACTCCCTACAAAAGCCTCTGATCCTGGTCTCATACCTAGGCTGTCTTCCACAATCTGAGCCCAATCACCCCCAGTGGGTGCTATAACAGGTCTCTCATCTATGCGTAATCCTAATATAATAGCAACATCCTGAAGGGTAATAGTACACTCTCCAGGGAGCATGTGGAAGGTGTGCGTCTCGGGCCTCCACCTCTCTACTAATGTAGTAATCAATCCCACGTCTACAGGAAGCTTAGACAAGTTAGCCACTCCAACAAAACCCGCTAATTCCAGATGTGAAATAATTTCTTCCGGAATACCTTCTAATCCACCGGGAATATTTGGACTCTTCCTAACTCTCAATGTCGGGTGATCACGTCCATCCCAAATATGCTCAGAAACATAAATACTCTGAAACCGAAGAAGTGATGGATCTTCTGGCCCAGGATTAATAACCCTACTTTGTTGTGAAGATGATGTCATCTATACAACAATAAAAAATATTAGTAAAAAAATTTCATTCAATAATAATAATAATAATAATAATTTATATTTTACTAACATATTAATAATACATAAATTTTATATAAATACAATTTTAAAATTTTACTTCAATATAAGTGTAAAAATTATTTATTACAATCAAACTAAGTATAAATTATTATATTTAGTTTTATATATTTATTTTATTTAACTCAATTTTTATTATTCTGTATTTTAATAAATATCTATAATAATTCCTGTAAACAAATTTTATAAATCTTAATTTAACCTATCTTCTTAACAATTAATTATAATTTTATATTTTAATTAACTATATCACATTTCATTTTTCTAAAAACATATTAATCTATATATAAATAAATAAAAAAATATTTAAATTTTAAATTCTTTTTTACTAATCTTTAATAAACTTTCAGCAAATTCTTCACTCACCCCCACTTAATTACCAAATCACTTACATACGTAGAGTTTAAAATTATTACAATATTATTATCAGATTTTCTAATTAACAAAATTAAATTAAAAATAATATATAAATGCATGTTGTTATAGTTCCATACATCTTAAATTCATAGCAGTATTTGATCCTTCATAGCAAATCAAAACAAATTTTGAAACTTCGGACGATGATAGAGGAGCAGGAGACGGAGAAAAGCTAAATGGACGACAAAAGAGGAGCAAAGACGGAGAACATGTAAATGGAAACGAAGGAGGATGGTCACGGAGAAGGAAGAAGGGAGACGGTCAAAAGCGGTTTCGCTAACTGCAGGGCGAAATGAGCTTTCGCCAGTAGCAGTGCGAATCATCTCAGATGTTGTCACGTGTATCAAAATCTCCCCAACCGTCCATTTTAAATCTAAGAGAGCAGTTCCAGCAGAATCGCTCTCTAATATGCACTTCTGAGAGCAGTTCAAACGGAACCGCTCTCTAAAATGGAGCTATGAGAGCGACTGCTCTCTAAAATGGACTTATGAGAGCGGTTCAGAAGCAACCGCTTTCTTAAATGGACTTATGAGAGCGGTTCAAAAGGAACCGCTCTCTAAAATAGACTACTGAGAGCGGTTTTAATTTAACCACTCTAAGAACTCGTATTTCATATTTTTTTTGGCAAAATAGATTTTAAAAATTTCAAAAATTAATACTTTCGCCAGCCGTTTGGCGAAATTTTGTTCCACGTGGCAAAAAAACTCCAGATTGAAAAATTGTTTCAGATTTCTTATAAAATAATAAATTATTTTTTAATTTACAATATTTTAATAAATTTGCCCAAAAAATGTACATTAGGTCTATATACTAGCAGTCTGTTTGTTTGTGTCTACAACCTTTGCAAGGTAGTTGATGCATTTTATGTGACACTTATATAAAGTAAAAGGATTCGATAAATTTTTTGTCTCTCAAAATATATTATATTTTGATTTTAGTTTCTATAATTTTTTTTTAAAAATTTAGTTCTGTATTTTAAAAATAATTAAATCATTATTAAATGATGATATAATTTGGTATCTATAAGTTTTTATATCACATGAAATATATTACTTTTTTAGAGTCACCATAGTGAAAGAGATTGAAATTAATCATTTTTGAAAATGTAGAGAATAAAATTTAAAATATAATTTTACCAAAACTAAAATAAAAAAATAATATATTTGACAAATAAAAATATATTTAACCCAAAATAAAAAAAATTCTCTTATGGAAGATGAAAGATGATTACACAAAGGCTATAGATAAATGTTAGCTAGATCCTACAAATTGTCCTTAATTAAACTCGGTGAAAAAATTAAGTCTAATCTCTATTAACAAATAGCATATAAATGAATTTGTAAATACTCTTGTCGTAAAAAGAAAAAGAAAAATTAATTTTTAAAAGCATTCAAATAAAACAATGATTAATATAAAAATTGGCAGGGCAGCAGGGAGATATCAGAGCATTGAACAAACACAGAAGACAGAATTTTAATATAAAAATAAAAGGGCTAAAAGAATATTTAATTTTAGTTTATTGAAAAATTTACCAGTGATGATTTTATTAATTTTTAAATTTTTTGAAATAATCTCTGTAATTATAGACATGTTAAGTCAAGATTAATCTGAAATGACATGTAACATGACAAATTTAAATACGTATGAAGTTATCTTTGTGTGATAATAAAAATAGTTTTTTAATGTTTATTTTTAAGGTGTATTAAAAATAATAAAATATTATAGAATTTAATTTATTAATAGTATTAAATACTAAATTTTAATATAAAATTATTAATTGTTTAAAATGTTTCCTTTGAAATAGGTTAAAAAAGCTGTTTAAAAATTTTAAAATTTATAAAATCTAAAATTATAAAAAAGACAGAATATATGCAATTAATAATTTCTTCAACATGCACGTCAGAGATCCTACCAACTAGTAAAATAAAATTTTCACACTGCAGAAGATTCCTCTAGCTACTTATGGTCCATTAGTTCAGTGTACTTGTCTGTGTCACCTTTTATTTTTTCTCCTAACTTTAATTTAAACCATATTCTATGATACTGTGCTCTTTGCCTCTTCAATCACTTTTACTGTTTGCTTAATTTTAAATTATTAAATATAAGTTAAAATAAGATAGAATAGCTTGTCTAGATACATTTTAACTGTTTAATATTTCTTTATACTAAGATTGGATGTGGTTGATTCATTCCTTAATTATGCAGATACTGTCAACACTATTCTCCCTCTGTCTTTCAATTACTTGCTGATTCATTCCTTATTTGTTCATCATTTCGATGATACCATTGAAAAATACCAATCAAACCAGCCCAATTTGCAAGCTACATTAGGCTAAATTCAAACCACAAAATGCTCAACTAAAAGGAATTTGATTTTTGCACCACCGTTTTATTTTGCTATTTGGACCCCTAATTTTCTTTTGTCATTTTCAAAAATATTTTTTTAAAAGCATGTTTAATGTATATTCTGAAAATTAAATTCTAGAAAGCATATTTATAAACCACTTTCAAAATTTTAAGAAATACTTTTATATTTTTCAGAAATTAAATTTTAAACATGATTTACAAATAACTTCAAAAATTAATTTTTGAAAGATATTAAACACACTTTTAAAAACTGTATTTCAAAAGCAAAACAAACAAATGATACATATAACAAAAATGGATAATGTAAAAAATAATCTTCTAAAGTAAAATACTGTCTCCCTACCTTCATTACGTATTAGAACTTGGTATCCCCTACCGTAATAATAATAGGCCCTATCAAGTAAAATCATAGATTGTACTAAAATTCTATTGTCAGATTAAAATAGTGCTCACACTATAACATTTACGAGCGACTATTTAAGTGTAAAGTATCTCTTTTGTTTTCAGAGTTTATACAGTAACTCTGAAATTTGTTAATTATGAAATTAGAATTTTACAACAATTCTATAATAAAAAATCGTTATATTTTCGGCCACAATTTAAAAAAATATATACTTGTTGAATATTAAATTAAATATTCATACACACCAATAATCAAGATCATTGCTCCTTTTCTTCTTTATGTAACAAAATGTGCACATTTGAGGCAACCAAGGACCTTGGATATCCTATCCAACACTGGTCAAAGCCAGTAACAACATTAATTTCTTAACATGGAAGTGATTAATAAGAAACCACAAAATAAAAGAAAAAGATGCTATATGATTTGACATAGAAATATAAGTGTTATAGCGTGTTTGAATTCCCGTTTAAATGTCGATAAATCTATATTTCCCTCAAGGTAGCTTCTGTGTTAGATCCATATTTACAGATTTTCTAATGTATTTCCATACATAGAAATAAACATGAATCGAAAATGGCAAGTAGAATAACATGAAGTGATTCCTCAAACTGAGGCATTTTCTCCTATAACAGCATCAAGCTGATTGTGGGTTAAAACTTCCCTTGCACGTGAACTCCTATGTTGAAGTCGCTGATGTAGTGTCTCAGACATCTGGTTGAAAAACTCGGAGTCCCATCTCTGAATCAATGAAGGGTCCTCTGCATAGCAGATATATATGGATGTAACAGCACTTTCCACCACTACCATAGCCACTCCAACCTGAAAATACATATATTTCATGCCATATGCATGCATCAAAATATTTTGTTGCTATTCAATATTCTTAGCATATAGCTTGTTTGGTTAATGTGAATTTTATGGAGACTGAAGAATCGATTCCTTTAGTAACTTGAGTTCTTTGGCAACTTTTTTATGATTCTCAATATCAATTTTGCAATGAATAGAATTGATTTTGAAAGAAATTAAAATTTTTAACCTTTATGTTGATAGGAATTTATTCTATCTATGAGACAAATTGTATCTATATTTGAACTTCAAAAGTGATTATACTGCACAATCCAAACAAAATTAGTTATTTTGAACTCACTTTTAAAATATCATTCCTAAACGCAAATCAATTTTTTAACCTCAGTTTTCAAAATCAATTCGTGTGTTTGTTTTTATCGCCCAAACAACATATTTCCCCTCATTTTCCAATAGGGCTGCGAAAAACAAAACCGACTACACCAAATCAAACCAAATTCCAAACCAAACTGTATTTAAAAAATTCAAATAATGTAAACTCGTTTTCTTTTTAACAAAATAGTTAACTAGTTTTAAAAGTTGGTTTTGAACCACTTTCAAAGTGGAATTTAAAGAAAATGGTATAAAACTGGATTTGATTCGAAACCTGGTTTTGAAACCAGTTTAAAACAGGGTGTGAACAGGTTTTAAATAAAAAACAGTTCAAAACCATGTCAAAACTGGTTTCAAACCAGTAAGGTTGGTTTCAAACCAATTTTTAATCAGTTCTCCAAAATCTAAACTGGTCTGGTTTCCAAACTGAAACATAATTACTGGTTTGGTTTGATTTTTCATAAAATTGAAATCGTGCACACAATTTTTATGCAAAAACACACTTTACAAGGGCCCGTTTTCTCAAATCAACAAATTTCTGCTGTGAGACAAGTTTTACAACGAATACAACAGGCAATGACAAATTTTTCAAGATCATTTTACCAAAATCTAAAATAGACAGATTCATAATCAACATTTAGCAAGATAAAGAAGATAAGGCATGTGCTGCTAGCATTAAGATTTTTCATTTATGGAAACAACCTGACTCAAGCAATTTGATTATTACAATTCCATTGATTGATCACAATTTGGTCATTAAGAAAAGGGTTAAATATGTTTTAGTCCTTCAAGATATACTGAATTTTGATTTTGGTCTCTACATTTTAAAAAATTTAGTTATGGTCCTACTCACCATTAAATGATAACGTGGCTAACTCAAATGATGTCATATGTTAATTTTTGTGTCACATATTGGTTTTCCATGATGCCACGTTAGAAGAGGTACCAAAATAGTCAATTTTAGAAAGTGTAGGGACTAAAACAAAAGAAAAATAATTTAACAGGTACCAAAATCATATTTAGGGTTTTAAAAACAGAAATCAGTGTTCCTCACCACAAGTAGCTTTACCAGGCCAATTTTGAGGATAGAAAGTTCAACAACCAGCATGTAGCCAAGTCAAAAAGGAACAAACTTAAATCAAGGAGGTTGGTTGTAAACTTACCAATATCATCCCCATGAGCACAGATGTGGACCCAATCATAAAAGCCCTGTCACGCCACTTAATCCATGCCCAAACACCAGAGCATGTTCCAGTTATCAGTCCACCAAAAATGGTTCCCATTAGCAGCACGGCACCCGAACAATCATAGGCCACAAGTGCTTCAACTCCAGTTGATTGGAATAACTCCCAGGCATCTCTAGCAGAACGGTTAAAGCTTTTACCATAAACAGCAATCTGCAGGGAACATGAGCATAAATCATGCTGGAGTAAGTTTTCCAAGAACCACAGCTGCCAACTGGATGTATACATCAAACCTCAACAAAGGTTGCTTGTAAGTTTAGATTTCAATTTCAAGACATTGGGTGTATTTTGATAAATAAATTAAGGGTTTAATAAACTCTTATTACAATTTATGACATGGCTTATTTTGATAAGAATTATAAAAAAAACTTAGTATAATAAGTTATAAAAAAGGTTATAGGAAACATAAGTTATTTTTACAAGCCCAAATAAACTCCGTAGAAGTTTTTTTAAGTGCCTTAATTGTGCAGAGCTATTGCTGTTGTATTTTCACACCTCACCCAGTACAGTAACAGGTAGTTAAAGTGTATGACAATCAGCAATTTTTTATATTGAGTCTGGATTGTCGTGGAAAATATGCAAAATTATCTTGTATGGGTGAGGTTGCTGATATAGACATGGAAGTCAACCTGAACATAAGCATACTTGTTAAAGAAACGGACAAGAGTCTCCACAAGATGGAAAAGGAAATCAACACAACAAAGTAAACACTCATTGTTGCCTATCTTTGACCGGATTCCTCTTATCTGAAAAGCATAACAAATTTGATGAACAAAAAGGGAAATGAATAGCCTCCTTATATTAAAGAAAATAAACTTCAAATAATTCACAAAATGCAAATAGCAGTCAACACCTCCCATCGCAGAGTCCTAATTGCAGCTGTGAATAATGATCCATAACAAATGCTTCCAAAAGATGTTGTTAATGCATACTGTAAAGATTTCATTAAGGAGTTGGTGGGGATTGACTGAGCATCTCTACCACCATTGATACTAACAAGAACCACCGTCCCAGACACTATCACGTGCACAGTATTGCAGAAAACAGCACCTGTCCAAAATAAGCTTATAGAGAGGACCTGCATGCACCATGGCAATATCAGTGTGAGATGAGGTAAGATTACGCATTTTGCTGTCAGAACCCGTCTCAACAAGCATAGACAGAATGAAGAGCAAAACTTGCCAGCTCACCACAAGAAGCCACCAGCGTCCACCGTCACCTATGCTTGAAGCAACAACACCAGCAGCTCCAAATGACCATAAGGCCAACCATAAAAGCACGATAAGCATAAAAGCATATGCCACTCTCATAACCTCAGGAAGATTCCAAACCATCTTGACAGCTTTTTGAAGAACCAACATCGTAAATGGAAGTCTGGAGAAGGGGAAAAAAGGAGCCACCAGAAATCATTTTAACACAATTAATTGTACAGAAAGTAAAAGCAAGGGCATGAAGAAATTAACTATAATGACAGCACATAGCTTCCAAAACTTTGAAGATTGCATACTTATTTGCCAAACATGAAAGTATCCATCCATGGTGCCAAAAATTCTTGAAAATGTAAACATGTATAAACAACTTTTATATGCATTTCCATGGAAGGGAGACATTATAGTGCTATTACAATACACCTGGTTGATTAATGGTGATGTTTTTTATTTGACATGTCACAAGCAAGCCTACTCGGATGTCCAAAGAAAGTCTGAGATATAGAGTGCTTCATTCATCCATTAACTAACAACCACAGCATAAAAATGAACTATGTTCTCTCACCATAACTGCATCACAGAATCTGACTCCATAATTCAGGCATCGTAAAAAATCAATAATAGTAAACATGTATTTTAAAACTCGAGAAATTTTAAAATTAACAAAGTTGAGTAAAGAATGTCAAGAATCAAGATTCAACGATGTCAAGTCTATCATATCGAAAATTCAGTAATTAAGCTCAATAAACCATTTCATGTTTTGGGAACTCAATAAACAGTAAATACTTTCCTCTTTAAGCTAATCAGGCAAGTCTTTAGACTCTAGAGAGGTTGGAGCTCTTTGACCCAAAGATGAACACTCGGATTCACACTAGATTTTATAATTTATAATAAACAACTAAACCAGTGAAATCTAAGACAGTGATTCCTACCATTGTTGGTTCAACCTCTCGAAAGATTCAAAACAAAACAACATTGCTATAGCAATTCCATTAAAATCAGAGACCACTTCAAACATTAAAATCCCCTCACAACACAACCTTCAAATGCCAAAATTGATGTACCAACAATCTTGCAATGACAAAACAACATCAAATCAAATCAAATCCAATTCTCATACCTGTCTATGACAGAAATCACATACAAGAACTGCAGGGCTGCCCCAATTGCAAAGGCAACACCCCAAAAAAACTGCTCAGCCCAAAAACACAAAACACTGATCACAGCAAGATAAGTGGTGAGTATGTGCACAGACACCTTCATCATCTGGGTGGCGCGTGTGCCTAACAGCAACAACCAACTCCATCCAAGGGCGGTTCCAACGCCTCCGGCCACCGCATAAAACGGCCAGTAATCCTCTGTCAAACCAGCCTCATTCTCCATGAACCGGTAAGTGTACTTATCAATGTCAAGCCTGTTCTTTTGCTTGAACCTGTTGAGACCTAACACCCCAAGAACCAAACCCAAACCAATCAAATGGACCATGAATATCCCTAACCAGAAAACGTCATGCCAACGCCGTGGTTGCTCCATTTGCAATGTCACCAATTCACTGATGTTGTTGCCAATCTACATACCCCTGCATTGTGTCAAAACGAAAGCAACGTTTAGTATATTGAGATACTGAAAAAGTTCATCTTTCACTGCTTATTAGTGAAAAAAATTGAATAAGGGGAAGACTTTTCTGCCGTGAAAAGGTAACTGGGGTATCCCCATATAAGATCAAACTCACAGAAAATGAAGTTTACTTTTGCCATCTAGAGAGTAAAATCACATTTTTATTGATTTTGTTTATCCGTGATAAAAAAAAATCAATAAAAATTATATATAAAAGGGCTTTTCTCTACATACTAATTCGGGTAGCCAGATATTAAAAAAAGAAAAAGCGAAAACCATGATTAAGAGGGGAAAAAAAACTTTTTGCCAATATTGAGTAGCTTTTGCCATAAATATAGTTAACTGGGGGTACAAAAAAAGTGATTTTCCTGTTTCTATTTTCGGTTTTCCAGTAGAGAGCAATTGAGGTAGCAAGATGGAACAAAAGCAATGATTTAACAGTAGAGTGTGATTGGGGTACCTAATAGTTGGCGGTGGCAATGGAAGAGAAAGAAGTGGAATCCACCATTGTAAGATGTGAAGAAACATAGCAACTTGTTGCACAGAAAGAGAGATCAATTTGATAAAAGGATCATAATAATGGGGAAAGGCCAAAACTTTGAATGGGACATTGAATATAACACAAAAAAACACTGAGGGAGTTGAATTGGGAATGTTATGAAAATGGAGGGTAAACTGATAACCTCTTAACGGCTAACAGAGAGAGCGAGAGAAATGGAGTTGGGAATTTTCAGAGAGAGATTCCTCTGTGGGGATTTGGATCATTCGGGTGAGGAGAGAGAGAGAGAGAGAGATTTGTGGCGGTGCCACGCGCCATGATTGTAAGAAGGCATGCGTATGCAATAGTCTTCATTTAGCTGTTAAGTTAACCAACTTTTTTTAATTTTAACTTACTTTTAGTTAATGGAAATTTAAATATAATATTATCGATATTTTTAATATTACCTTTTTCCATTAATATTCATATTTTATTTTGATAATTGATAATAATTTGAGAGAAAGAAGGTGGGTTGATAACCTTCCTCCTCTTGTTAATGGGACGGTAATGATATGCAGAGTAACAGTGGGTGTACTGATTATTGTAAGCCAAAGCTGAGACATTTGTCGGTGAAATAATGGATATGCAGATATGAAAATGGACCAAATCATCCACTGCATTATGTTCCACATGTCCATTTCAATAATAAAATTTTACTTTAAGCTTTTTTACATTAATAAATATCTTTTTAATCTTAGTTAATTTCTAAACTAAATTAGTAATCATAAGATAAATACTGACATATATATGTGCGTGGTGACCACTCAATTTTATTTGAGTTCAAAAATTAAAAAAAATGATTAAATAAATTTTCAAAACTTTTAGTATGTTTTTATGTGAAAAAAATGAGTTTAGTTTTTGTTTTAATTATTAAGTTTCACATTAAAAAATTATGTACCTTTAACTTTTTCTCAGATCTCACATCATATAAAAGTATTAACTATATATTTGAATCATCTGTATATCATTCAAAAGGTATTAAAAAATCCCCAACACTTTAACTTAATGTATATAGTCTATTTTTCTATTAAAAGCTTTTAAAGAAAGATTGTGAGGACTTTATGGGCGTCAATCGCTAAGCACAATAATTGACGCTTCTAAGGTGAGATTCTCCATCTTTTCATTTTATTAGTGTTATTTTTTTTTAGTATGTTATGTTAATTTATGAATATATGTTTAATTTTATCTCTTTTTTACGATTAGTCTTATAGTTTTTAAAATTGTATTGTATTGTTAAACGTCCTCAACATAAACTATATTTTTCTAAATTAAAAATAATTAACAGACACTTATTTTTTAAACAACAATGCGATTTAAAATTTTCATTGTGCTAAATGATACATTGCAGTAGAATAAATTTTTGTCAAATCAAAATAATTTTTTATAATTTAATTTGTATACAATGAGAGTTTAGGATAAAACATATTGGAGAGAAATGACACACACAAAAAAAAAAAGGTAACTTGATCACGTATAAAAAACATTAAACTAAAAGTAATTAAATGGAATAAAAATATTACAAATAGTTAATCATGAATAACTTAGTTGTACATTTATGATAATAACTTTTTTCTCTTTTATTTCATCTAATTTTAACAATAGTCATGATATCATATTGATTTATAGAGGTTAAAAAGAATTTAGCAAGGATCTGGTGGATGAAATATAAAAAATAAAAGAAAAAAATTTGTTATGTTTATCTCACTAAATTAATCTCTCCCCCATATTTGGGAGTACAAAACGGAATTTATTTTATATATTTTAAACTACAAATTTATTACAAAAAATAAAAAATAATTTTATGTTAAGAAAGAAAAAAAGAGTATTCAACGCATTTAGAATAACTTATAAAAAATATTGTACAACTTTTATAAGTTTTTTTTATACTTCTTTCAACTTATTTAAATAAATTTCATGATCAAACACGCTATACGTCTTTACATTAAAAAATAAGTTTATTAAATATACACTCAATTAATATTTTTATTCAATTTCACTTTAAAAAGTTTATAATTGTGAGTTAAATTTAATGTTTTTAAAGCAGTATATTTTGTATATGTTTTATTTATTTATTCCTACTCTCTTACACTCATTTAAATTAGTGGAGGGAACTTTTTTACTTCTTATTTTAATGTAAATATAGATTATGTAATAATTTGGAGTATTATATTTTATTTAAGTTTTAATGAATTTTTTTATTAATAGTTAGTAATGCATCTTGTGTTGTATGAGTGTGTCAAAAGATAGAGCGTATAAATTATTTTTTAAAATTTTATTTTGAAAATATCATATTAGTAATAAATAAGAAATTAATTAAAAATTTCAATTAATAATTTTATTGTAATTGAAAAGTAAATATATGATAAATAAAGTAATGACAAGAAAAAAAAGGTTATAACTACAACTAAGAAAAAAATTGACTCATCAGTAAAAAAAGAGTAAGAATATATGTATATAAAGATGTTGACAACTAGGCGACATTTTTCTAGGCCTTTTACAACAACAACGTTATATATAATATATCTTTGGGGTATGATTTTATACATGTTGCCTTTTGTTGTACGCCACAATTATTAAATCCTATCTATTCTTATTAACAAAGCATTTCTAAAGGTGGTATAGCATGGACAATAATTTATGGATTAATTAAATGTTGCATTTTATTATAAACAATACTTATTGAAATCTACTTATATAAGAATAAGCAACAATATTACCCCTTTAAGTCATGATAATTTAATTATTATTTATTAAAAAGTTAGAAATGATTATTTATAATTTTCGTAAACTTTTTATTGATCAATTATAATATAAAATTACATTGTAACCCGCCAATTATGTCAATGCATGAATACTAGGATATCAATGTCTTGAATATGGGATCCAAAATTATAAAATCACTAACAAGAAGAACGTAAAAGCTTGTTTTTCTTTGCCGATCGAACAATGACTTAAAGGCTTCTCAATTGATTCGCAATTGCTTTGAATAGAATAATGAATTTTAGTCTATTAAAAAACAACCAATGTTAAAGATAAATCTAATTGCCATAATAAAAATGCTTGTATCGTAATAGAAAGCTTACAATAGCAATCTGAGCATCTTCATCCAATATATTTTTCTTTTTTACTTTGGCAAATCTCAATAAACATTTTAGCTAAAGAAACATCTTCTCCACTCTCTTTTTTTGCATATTACATCAATCAGAGAGATTGAGCAATTTACTTGTTTTGGATATGCAAACACATTGTACCAATTAATTGTGCTTGGATTCTAGCAACATTTTTAGGTGTCCTACAGTGTTTATATTTTTTCTTAGCCCTATTCAAAGCATTTTTTTTTATTGATACTCTGAATCACACAAAAAATGAGAAATTTAAAGTTCAAAAATAAAAAATAAGTTTGAAAAAAAATAAACATATTTATATATAATCTCACTTGGACAGTGCTACTTCAAGTGTGGAGTTGGGGATAGTGTCTTGAGTACCTTTCACTCAAAGTGGAGTATTTCAAGAAAAATTAAATTAAATAAAAAAAAGAAGCATAAGATCCTACCGTTATGCGTCAACCCTCAAGGCGTTACTAGCAACTATTTGCAGAGAATCCAACGAGCGAGTTACTGATGTCGAAACCGACACGTGTCCCCTGCTGCTGCACGTTCCCAATGATTGACAACGACGACGTCGTGGGCGCAAACGCCAGACAAAACGTCCCCGTTGAGTCAACCGGTATTAGGTAATTCTTCGCCGGTAACGGTAACTCCTTCCCGTCGGGAAAGTGAAACGACACCGTCGGAACATCCACGCTGGACTTTGACGACAAGTCGTAGCACGTGTCAAACAACGACACACCGTTCGCAGAGGGCAACCCCTTCGTCCCCCTCACAAACGCGTCCCGAAGCGCGTCGTACACCTCGCTTCGCAACCGCGTCACCGCCGTGCCAGAATCTACGATAATCCCGCCGCCGCCGGTGGCGTCGACCTCGAAACTCGCTTCAGGAATCGGAAGCAAGTCACCACCGACGCTGATTCCCGTCAAGCCGAGATAGTAAAACGTGTCTAGCTCGGGGTTTCTTCGTAACGGCGCGGTGACGGCGTTACGTGGAAATGGCGAGTCAAACTCGAGAGTCGAGGCAGAATCGGTGTCACGGTCCACGAGGCAGTAAGAAAACGACGTTGCATTGAGCTGAGCCGGAAAAGAAAGTGAGCCGCCGCCGAGGCCGAGCAAGCCGGCAGCGCCGACGAACAAGCCTTCGTTATTATGACCACAGCCGATGGCAATGCCGTCAACTGAAGCCGTGCCGAGAGTCACCATTTCAGTAGCGAACTCACCAACTGTGTAAGAACCGTCACCGTAGGAAACCTCGTAGAGACACGTTTCGTTGCGGCATTCAGAGAGGTCCAAGGATTTACACTGTGGCGCGTCGCAGTGGATCAGCTCGTAGGAAGAGGATGAAAGGGGGTCGAAAATCGGATCGGATTGTTGGTAGCAATCGGAGCATGGTGCGCATTGGATCCAACTTACGTCACTCCCTGTGTCGAGTACCATGTAGGCTTGACTCGGCGGTTTTCCAATTCCGACTCGGAGGAAGTACTCGCCGCTTCCTTGACTCGTTCCCGAGATGATTGGGCCTTGCAGTTCGTTGAATTTGAACTCGTTGCCGGACTCGGTGGGGTGAAGATTCGAGTTGGAGATGCGCTTTAAGGCGAGATCCAGGCGAGTCTGTAAGGCTCTGACTCGGGCTGAGTCGCGCTCAAGTCGCGATAGGGTTAGAGACTTGTAGTCGTTGTGGGAAGGTTTCTGAATTGAGGCTCGAGAATGCACTTGAAGGATGAACGATGATGCAAAAGATGGTTCTTGTTGTCGTTGTGAGCGGTGGTGGTGGGGGGGGGTTAAGGCAAGGGCTTTGTGTGTGTTTTGAATGGAGGAAACGACGTGGAGGGGTGTCGTTTTGGGGGTTTGAGGTGTGGTTCGAGAGTGTGTTAAGGGGGAAGAACAGAACAGAAAGAAGAGCGGAAAGAGATAAGTTAGAGGTCCCATTGGCTTTGGCATTCAAGTTAAGGAGTAATGAGATGAAAAGAAGATTTTGGGAGGTTTTATTTTAGAAGCTATGGAAGAGGACCATTCATGTCAAGCTCACTGGGTATGGGAAATGGGTGAGATAACATTTAACAATGCATATTTAGGGGAAAAGGAAGATGAGAGAAACTTTGGATGAGGAGGGACCAGGGAGAGGGAGCTTCGCATATGGCAATTCACAATGACATACCATATTTACTTGTTTAGAGTTTCATAACCTTTGCACTTTCCGGTTCAAAATGATAAATTTATTCCATGTTTGTCAATCTTTTTAACCCTGGAATGTTATAGTACCATGTACACATACATATAGAAGGACATTTTTGTCAAATAAAAAAACTTAAAATTTTGCTATTTCATTGGTTGCAGAGATATTAAAACTTTCAAGACATGGCATGCAAGAATAATGACACGGGAATGGGACCAACGTAGGGACTTTGCGATGTCCCACATTTGTGGGACAAAAAGTGCGCAATTCAGTCTCACCTCATGCAATTGCTATCATCACCAACTACTTTTTAGTTTTTATGTTATCACAAAACAATTTATTTTATTTCTATATTGTTAATATAATCAATATTTTACTTTAATAAATAATTATATATCATGAAAATTTTAAATAATATTATAATAGAACATTTTTTTAAATACTAAATCTTAAAATATCCCTTACACCTGCGTAAACATAAAGATTGTGCTGCTCTATCCATCGATTCTTTAATCAATTGGGTTAATAAAGTTTTTATCCAGTACTTGGACGCAGTCAACCACTACATAACATATTTGCTAAACAGCATTTACTCTTTTCTAGTACAGATTAATGATATGAGGTGCTGTAACAATATCGCTCATGATTCAATTGGAGAAAGGAACGACTGGGTACCAAAAATAATGAATAAAATTCCACTTGAGAGTGCAACCTGAAAAGTAAGAAGTACAACCTAGATCACACTGTATTGAAAATTTAGTTTTGTTTATTATTAGTTTAAATATATTTCTAGTTTTTATGTTTTTGTAAAATTTTTAATTTAATTCTTATTTTGTATATTTTAATTCCTATAATTTTTCTACATTCAATAATGTGATCAACCATATATTGATATATAATAAAAAATTGTTATATAGCAACTTTTAAGTTATTCATATTATTATTAAGAATAAATAATTAATGAATAAAATAAAAAAGTTAAGAATTGAAAAAAAATATAAGGATGAAGAAAAAAAGTTGTGCTTTTGCTTACATACTTTATCTTTATCATTATTCCATTAAAACCTTTAATTATAATATATTTCTTGCACGATAAATCCAAATTCATTTCCTTTCACGGTTTCATGTTAGTCTAAAATTATTTAATTTTTGACTAGTATTTTAAAAATCATTTAAACTTGAAAAGATATTATTGACCTTAATTATATATGTATAATGTAAAAAGCAAGTAGAGCAAACACAAAAAAATGGTCATGCTAATTGTTACCATTTTTTCTGATATCCGAGATGCTAAACTCTTTCCTCCAACAACAGCAGCAGCAGTGCACAATGCTTGTCCTCTATGACGACACAAAAATAGAGTTATCCAATAACAAGTTGCAGAGCCTTAGGCATGTGATATATTTATTGCATTTACACCTTTCTGTAATCTAAAATTGAAATAAAAGAAAATAGTATCTTGGAAGAGATATATTGATAGGAAAATTAACTAGTCAAAACTTACAAAATCCCTCCTAGGACCACCCCTATTGCATTCTCATCTGCAGCCAACCCAATGGTAGCCAGCTAAAACGTAACAAGGTTTTTGTTAATGAATAATAATCATGGTCATTGAATAATAATATAACAATAATAATTCTCTGATTAAACATACTTGGCTCCTGTCGCCCCATTCACCAAAAAAGGTGATTGAAAATGCCTACAACGTTGAAATGGAATGATCAAAGAAATTAGATTCACCTTAGCTTGGTATTATTCATTTAAATACTCAAATAGTATTAGTTTATTACCTTTAAAAAGATGGGATTGAAAAATGGTTGTTTGTTCCTTTTCAAATCAACATCAACCTAGGAATTTGGACATCAAATTGAAATGTATACTTAGTCTTACAAAGCCAAATATATACCTACAAATTCCATTTTGTGTATAATCAAATATATATATTTTAGATTAATGTACTACCGTAAATGAAAGATCTCTTTTGAGCAAAAGTAAAGGGAAAAAAAAAACACTGTTACATTCTGTTGATGATTTCACTGATTGAGAAATCATTTAAAGGATTTTTTTCCTTACTAAAGTTCTTCATCTTTTTCCTTATAAAATCATTATGCCTAAACAAACTGTTAATAAATCCTGTTGTAATAGTTATTAGGATTTCTTTCATGGACCTCTTAAGCAATACTCATAACAAGTAAATATTATATTTTTAATAAAAAATATATATAAAGTACAACTATGATAATTTTTTTTACCTTGTTATCTTTGGTAGCTCCACTATTAGCTTTGTTATCTGCATTCTAATCAGTAAGAATAGATATAATTAATACGGGCATAATTTGACTTTTTTCATATATAATATAAGAAATTAAATTTAATGAAAGGCAGTAACTAACCAGTTTTTCTTCAACTTCGGCCAATTCGTCCTCCTCCCTATCGAATGAAATCATTAAGAATGAATAGAAGGAAATTAATGTTCATTGTATATATATATATATATATATATCACGAAGTGAATGTGAGACAATAAATCATTACTCTTCAAATATTGCATCTTTAAAGGATAATAGGCCAAAAACAAAGAATAACAGTGTTGTAATGTGATGAGTCCATTTACGAGAAACCTGCAAATTTTGATAAAGATCAAATAATAATATCAACAATAATAAAGATTAAAACAGTAATATAGCCAAACAAAAATGAGAAAGCACCAAATATGCAACACATTGAATAATGTAGGAATAGGAATAACCCAACGATGAAACAAACATGTTATTGAGAATGAGTTTAAATTTTTGTTATAATTTTCTATTATTATATATATTTTTCATATCGATAATTACAAAACTATATCATATTTCATTGCCTTTTTTTTTCTTGTAATTTTTACAATATTATTAGAAAAAAATCACAACATATTTTTTAATGGATGGCAGAAATATATCAGTTAACAACGAAACAACATCTATATATCGCTGGCAACAAAGAACACACCACATTTGGAGCTGCCCAGCCGACAATTGCAGAGAAAATGGTCATCACCTGGTATTTTCAAAATTTTCTATCAATAAATCCAAAACATAAACTGTAAAACTTAATCACATAACAAATTAATGTCGTGTATACAACTAAATTGAAAGAATAAATGAAGAAAATTTCTTACGATTAAAGAGCACATGCAACCAGATAAAACAAGCCGTCGTGGGTGTCGCATAGCCAGAATCTTGAAATAAACATCATAAATAAAAATTTAATTTTAATTAAAAATATTTAAAATCTATTTGAAAGAGACGATAGGAGAAAGTGATAAAATATCTTAGTCTCTATTGATGGATTTAACTAGAACTAATCATAATAGGACCACCCAAAAGACCCAAAAGTTGTGAGGCCATTTTGGGCACCTTCAGTTAATTTTACAAGATCAACAAGCAGAGAAGAATTAAGGAAAGCAATGAAGACTAGTTCTAAACGTCACAAGGATCATTTACTATTTAACAAATATATTTTATATCGAGAGAGAGAGAGGGAGAGGAGAGACTAACAGCAGCTGCAAAAAATGTATTATCCCCTATCTCAGAGAGAACGGTCATTGCAAGAGACTTTGAGAAGCCCTGTTCAAAACAAATTATAAGCATTGACATTAACAACCCAAAATAGTGGAAAAAAGATAGCTAAGAAGTAGAATGTGTAAATAGTACCTGAACTAATGGCCCCATATTGGGTTAATAGAGAAGAGAAGGAATGGCAGATAGAGACACTAATTGTGTTTAGGGGTCCTTCAATCTCTCTCTCTCTCTTTATCCTTGTTCTATGGTATTTGGAACTGTACTATTGTTAATTAGTCTTATATGCTTCTTGCATTGAAATTGAAGCACTTGCCACTTCAATGCTCCACAGCAACACCAGTCTTAGTTGTTATTCTATTATTGTTACTTTAATAACTTTGATACTCCTCGCCGGGCTATATATTACCCGCCTTAGATGTGCCAAATCTTTAGGGTTAATTACTTCAACACTCCAATCAATATTCAAATATGTGCTATTTTCAGAATTTTAATTTACTCATATATTGTAAATTTAAGACTTCATTCTTAAAAGTGATATATATTATAATCTCTTTACTTATTCTTTTATCACATATTTATGTGATTTTTTTAATATAAAGTGTGTCTAAATTTTTTTCCTTCTTAATCATTTAATTAAAAAACATTTCCCTTAATTTTTTTAATCAACAATAAATATAATGGGATGTTTGTAAATCACTAAAAATTATATAATCTTCTAGAAATTATATCAATTCTTGAGATTTTTTTTTCAAAACTAGAAGTTTCTCAAATATGTATTTTTAATTATATTGTATTTTATATTTTATTATAAAATAATTCTCTATCACTTAAATTAATCTTTTATTATTTTTGAATTTATTTTATATGATTTTTTTGACAAATTTATAACTCATTTATAAATTTATTTAATCATGATCGATATTTGAGAGATTAGTTTACTTTATAATATTTTTTAAAATTCTATTTAAAAGTGTTTGAACTTATAATTGTTAGAAAAGAGTAACAAGAACGTTATTATACCATGGAAGAATTACTACCTTGAAAGCAAAACTCTAGGAAATCTTCACTGCAACTTGATTTCAAGCTTGCTTCCTAGATTAACAAAATAATATACAAGGGTCTATACACTTAGGAGCTAGGCTTGTTGAGTTGGAGTCTCAAACAAACTATACTCGTATGAAAGAGGAGGGGAAGAAAGGGTTAGAGAAGAAGGAAAGAATGGTTGGCATAGAAGAATCGTCCGTTGAGAATGTCTTTTGATGGTAAGAAAACGAGTAAAAATTCATAAAACTTCTTAAAAGAACATGTCTGAAAAAGAATTTGGATTGCTTCTTCGAACATGGGCATATTTATGTTCTTGGGTGTGCTTCATTATGGATCTAATTGTGATTCAAACAAAATTGGAAAATAAAAGAAAAGAAATGACAATCCAATGTTACGAGACCAAATGTTGGATGTGTTTCACATATATACCGATCATTTCATCAACTATTAGTTTTCATATGTTGTGCAATTCTTTATTCAAAATCACAACTATCACATTTGGCCCAGGTTTTACACAAGATAAGTCTTTCTTTCTTTTCTGGTTTCTCTAAGATTTCAAGTTATGTACACGTGCTAAAATCTCCAATTTGGCCTTTCAATAGCATAAAAGCCAGAGAGATTTAAACTGGAATTTGTCATCAGCAACCACCATCTGCAGGTTCAATTGAACTGTGCAACCCATTGCCTCTTAGCTGCATGCAATGATCTTCAGCATCAACTTGGGCACAGATGATCACCACTGACAATCCATTGTAGTGTGCTTCTTGCATGATATTAACTGCATTATCAAGGGTCATTCCAGGGATGACCTTCATCAGTACTTGGACAACATATTCCCGTTTATTGTAGTTATCGTTGTGCAATATTACACGATATGGGGGTGCATATTTCCATGATTTCCTGCACATCTTAGAAAATCAAGAATCAAACATTTTCTTCCTTTCCATAGTTACATATTCATGCGTCGTATCCCAGAAAATTTAAGAATAAGCATAACTGAACAACACAGCATTTGAACCACTAGAATGGATCTCTAAGTTCCTTTCCATTATGGAGGTTAAGGCATAAACATACGTTCATACTTTGAAAATGACAAACCAAATCATTTTGAAGAAAATGGGGAAAAGAAAGAAGAAATTAGTTTGATGTAAATCTATTTCCATCTTTGTCACAAGATACTTTCACCTGTTTTTTGGCAGGCTTTTACAGAAAATGACCACACACCTAGAATTCTTATCACTGAACACAGGGATACGTTTGAAAAATCTTTAACCAATTTTCCATTGTTTATTGGAAAATATCTTCAGATATTCAATGGTTTATAATTTATACATCGTTATGAGAATTCCCTCGTTAATGCACTTAGAGAAACAAAGTTGTAAAGTGAAGTTTGTTCAATTAGAAAATCTTAATTTGAAGGTCAACAGTCAAAACTCCTGCTTACTTCAAATTAAATTCAGACTCACGGCCAGGGGTGACTTTTTCTTTTTCAATAACTGGCTTTTCCAGCACCCCTCCCCCTTTACCAGGTCCTGTTGCCAATACAGCCATGGGTATGCAAAGACTGGAGCATGGTCCTTTACAAAAAGAATATCCGTCCCCTGTAATGAAAATCTTCAATGTATAATTTAAGCGCTCAACCAAATACATATGATACAAAAAGGTTTCATTGGTGCTAAAAATTTCCAACCATAAAATTAATTGTGAAAAAAATGAGATGTGATATAAGTCAGAAACAAAAAACCTATCTAGCTATCACAGTGAATGTAGGAATGAATTTCTATAGGCATCACAACATATGCATGAATACTGAAAAAAAAAATACAGGAATTTTCACACATGCACATATAGACAAAAAGTAAAAACATGAAAGTTACCAGAAGAAAGTGATAATAAAGGCTGTGGAAAAATGTGCAGTGTACACACCCCTTAAACTAAGGGAAATTGCAAGTACCCACCATGAACATTTAATCTTCCAAATATACTCGCAAATTTTGCAAAATGTAGCAATAAATCTTTTCATCTGGATTCTAGAATTTATTTGTTATCAGGAAAAGGAGCGGCAAGTATTTCATAGCCAAAGGAGAAAGGTAGCTTGGTGGACAACTGAACTTCTGACTATCATCAGAGCATTTAAACATGAAGAATTATTTTATATTTCATTTTTAAAAATGAAAGCATTTAAACAATTCAATTTTTATTTTGATGAGAATTACATGATCGATATAATTGAATTAGGTTGGGACAAGAATATTAGTCATTTAAATGATTATTGCATGATAAAACAAATTTTGCAAATGAGAAAACAAAGTGCAGTCAGTAAAATGAAAATTCATGGAGGTTACTACTAATAGTTATTAGTTAGCAGGCTAGTGCACAATTTTCCCTAAACACAGTGATCAAATATGCATAAGAGGGCAGGCAGAGAATTGTAACCAAACCAACTAAGATCAGTGTAGTAGTGTAAATCAAGCAGGACTAGTTTAAGTGTTTAACAGCATAAATATACGTTCCACAGAATTGAATCTCCACAAAATGGAGTATTTGATCAACATCACTTTCTCATTTGAATTCACATATCCAAGTCTCAAATTTAACTATTGCTTTATACTATTTTCTAATGATGATTTGTGTTTGATTGGAAAATTAGGATTGGAAACTGAATAAAATAGCCACTAATCTTCAATATAGTCATAATCTTACTTAAAATTGAGTAGAATAAAAGCAAACAAATAGTATATACATGATCTATGGGTGTAATTCAGTATAAATGCATTCTATACAAACAACTTTCAATCAAGATCTACATAAAGATGCTGTCGAATTCATCATTGCAAATATAAGACTCAAAACTACTATTACCCACATTACTAAACCCCATGTGAATCAATTTGGATAAACCACTAACATTACTCTTTTGCTTGGAAGGGTTCATCTAAATGAAATCTACTCATAACCTCAGGCACTTGTACTTGTTAATATGCTCCGTGCATAGAAATCATTGACTTTGCATCGACATGCCTAATAACTTGAGAAAATATTGAACTGCAGATCATCATCGGGAACTTCATTTTAGTTCCCACAGTGATAGAAGAAAATTAACGCTAGTTTTTTTTCCCCCCATTCTAGCAGGTGTGTAAGATAATCTTAAAACCTCAAACTTTGGGAAATGGGTCACGTTCAGTTCAGCAGGGAAACTCAAAATCAATCTTATTCACTTTAACCAATATTCTTTTAAGAAAATAGAACAAAGCAAAAAGATTGAATTATAGCAAAGGAAGAACGTATGGTAAATGAAACCACTCACACTATGCTAAATTGCTAGCCCACTTCCAAAGATTAAGACTTTATCAAAGAATTGCAGCTAATCATTTCTGATAACTAAACATTCACACAAGTGAACTAAGTCAAATTTTTTTTTTTTTCAAATTTTAGCAGGGTAAAAATGAAAATGAAAACCCCAGAAAGCAATAACCAAACCTCAATTACCCTAAAGATCAGAAACTCAAGAACGTGCAAAATTTAAATCAATAATAAAGAAACTCATTCATAACAAAAAGTTGAAGAAAACACCGTGTTGAAGTGCCAAAGGAATCGAAAAATTAGAGAAGAAGGGATGAAGTGAAAGGGAGAAACCTGGTTTGAAAACGTGGTTGGGAGAGAGACTCATTCTCCCATAAACCGCACTCTTCATTTTTCTCTTCTTCCTTTCTTTCTGTGTTCTTTGATTTTTATTTTCTTGTTTTCGGGTTTTGCTCTTTCTCTCAGTGTAATGTAATAAATAAATGAAAAAGAGCAAACGAAAAATGGAAAATTAGGATTGGAAACTGGTGGACCGAGAAATTGACACGTGTATGTCCAAAACGATCGTTTGGCAATGGAGTGTGCCCAACATGAAGAAAATAGAAAAGAGTTGTTGAAATTATACTTCACTTATTTACTCTTAAAATTTATAAAATTTGTTATATTAAATCTTATTGTACTCTTTTAATTTTTAAAATAGATTTTCTTGATCTAAATGTTGTAAATTTAAATATTAACTTGTATGTATAAATTCATTCTAAAATGTTGTTATAAGGGAACGGAAATTTTGAAAAATAATGTTTAAATATAGGCTACTTTTAATAAAAATAGTTAATAAGATAAATGATAGTTGAAAAATTATGTTTTATATAAAAACTGTTAAGTTAACTTATTGAATTAAATGTATTTAATAAAATTAGCTATTAAATTAGTTGATAAGTATAAAATGATATAAAATATTTATATTTTTTATATAAATCATAAAATATTTTAAAATGATTATTCTATATGATTTTAATTAATTTTAATTTTAACCCTTATTATCTTTTATTTAAAGATTAAAAATAAATAATATAATATTGAATGGCAGGATGAATGAATCATTTATTTAACGAGTTGAGATAAGCGTAAAAGCATAATAATAACACTATTTTAAGTAATCTCTTGAAACCAATTTAAGTTAATGAAATAAATTTAATTATTAATCATCAAGCACATTTATTTTGATCAAATAAAATTATAAATTAACTGAAATAGCTCGTAAAATATATTTTTTAATATAAAATTTCTATCTAAGACAAAAAAAAAAAAAAAAGTCTTAACAGGCTAATGTCTAATATGGAAGTAATTTTTTTAAAGTTAATCACATAAAAAAAAAGAAGGGATATTTGGTGACTTACATTTTTTAGGGATTAAATTAGATCTAGCAAAGTTTCTCAGTTACTAATTTGTATGTTTACTTTAATATTATATATATATGATTTAAATGTAAAAATATAAATTTTAAAATAAAACGAGGACAATTGTTCAAGGACATGTGAGAAATATAAAAAACAAATTTTTAGAGTCATTAATTAAATAAAAAAATAAATATTATAACTATCACATTATCTTGCAATCTCTCATTTAATAACCTCTATTATAGGATAGGTAAAATAATTTTTGGTAAATTATTTTTTAAGGTATCAAAATTAGGATACTAACTTAAATAGTGATAATAGATTTGTTTTGAAAAATAGAGAATTCTATGAAATAAAAAATGATTTATCAATCTAAAATCAAAATTTCTTACACACACACACACACGTAACAATATATTTCTAAACTTGAATGTTAATAAAAAAAATATTTTATCAATTCTAATACTTTTAAGACATTCATAAATAAAATCTTATGAATAATTAAATAAAAGTGCAAACACGAATATCAATATATTTCTCTTTTCCATCTTTTCTTAAATTCAAATTTTAAAACTTTTTAATTCAAACATAAGTTAAAATTGATCAACTGCTTAATTATAGTTGTTTTTTTTTTAATTGCAGACATGAGACACTTTTCTCGAAAAAAATATTTTGTCCTAATTCTCAATAAAACGGTTGATTGTGAATATTATCATCATTAAAATAAACAGAATATAAGTAGGTGAAATTTTGAAAATATTGACAAAATAAACATTGTCGGTTGAGGCTTTACCATTATAAGAAGAGGATGACACTTAGTGTTAATTTGTTTAGTAAGTTTTGAAAAAAAAAAGTTTTATTTGTGTCTTTATAAGGTTGTCATAATAACATACATCAGCAAAGTTGCGATCTTAAAAAAATGACTCAGAAAATTGTTTCTTATGAACGAAGAACCCAATTCTCTTTTTTTTCGAAGCCTTGCAAATGAAAGTAAAAATTAAAATGTTTTCTACATGAAATCTAAAATATTATCAAATTTGCTTTTAAACATTAGAAAATAATATAGTGTGTTTAAATACACATTTAAAAATTTATAAACTTAAATTCAACACAAAAATGACAAATTAACATTAAAGTATTAACCGTGAATTTAAGCATGCTAATAATCTAATTGGTATCTTCTGATTATATATACATATAATATTTTGATGAATTGGCCTGCATTATTTTTGGTACAGATAAGGCAAATTGAACTTAGAAGAAATTATTGCACACATGAGGTGTTTATTCACTTGATCCGGATTATGTGAGTTATAAATATATACCACTTGGATGAAAATTAAAAAAGCTATATGATCCATCAATAAGTCATCTTCTCAATAGGACAAAATATAAAAGAGAAAAAGATTAAAAAGGCTTGCTGCTCGTAGGATCGTGAAACTGATATTATTTGAGTTATAAACAACTAGATTAATTGCAGATGCCATATATTCTTCCAATAATATAACATAGTTCAGGTGTAAAACTGATAAGTGGAGGCATCGGCAATAATATTCCTAAAGCCACCAATTGTAGATGCCAACATAATGCACACTCCAATGAATATTGCAGCCTGAGAAACACAAAAATTGAGGGTCAATGCCAATATGGAACAACTCAACTGTGATCATCTAGTTTTTGCATTCTTTGTATATTAGACACTTTCCCTGATTTATAAAAATGTTGATAAAATAAATTAATCATTACCCAATTGATGAACCAGTTGAAGCTGAATCTCTTGGGTTTCTTGATTATCAGCCACATAATACTGGGAAGCTGAACAATTGACACACCATATATTATTAATCTTCTATCTTCTGAATTAACTCTTGTAAATTTGGTAGTTTAATATAAGCATGGGGAAATTGAGATGGTAAAAGAGCCTCACAAAATATGAAGTGGGGGCAAAACCAAATCCACCAAAGAACCCAAGAAGATCACCAAAGAAAGGAAATGTCACCCCAAAGAATAATGTAAAAGCTGAAACATTTTAACAAGCTCTGGTCACTTCAACAATTTTCATGAAAAGAACAATTATCCTATAGAAAAAATGATGTTATTGCAGTCATAGCATAAACGTTTTTGAAAATCTTACCTACAAAAGAAGATCTAGCAACAAGTCTTAGTACTACTCCTGGAGGAAAGTTCATTCGTTTGATCATCATTCTCTCAATCAAGTCAAAAACAGGCATAGCATAAACCTGAAGTCCACATATAGTTTCCACATTAATCAAGTCAGAAACAAAAATAGCTTAATTTGGGCAGCAATTGCATATCCTTAATTTTTGTTGTGTTGGTACCTGGTAGCTACCAACAACATGAATGAATACCATCAAGTTAGCTGAGGCAATGAGCCATGCAGGTTTTTCAAGTGCCATAAGCACATTATCATCAACATCTCTTCCAAAGGCCCAATACCCTACAAATGCAACTGGGAAATAGCATATAGCATTGATGATATAGGCAGCAATGGCACCTTTCCACATTGGTATCTTGGAGGGCTTCTCAGGAGTTGATGGAATTGTAGCCTGAATTTCAAGGGCCACTGCATGGCCAGCAAATGCAAATGAAATTTGACCAAGTGCATTGAAGACTCGGAACATGAAATCAATTGTGCTTGTTTTCTTGTAGCCATAGCTAACATTGTCTATTCTACCTCTACTCAAGCATGCCACCCAGGCTATAGTTGAATAGCTGCAATGATAGAACCATAAGAGTAAGGTAGTGAAGCAATAATCTCATTACCATTTCTTTCATCTCAAATGTTCTTGTTTGCACTTATCCTAACGTGGTAAAGAAAAGAACATAGATAGTGCGTTATGTCATAATTTTAAAATATGTAATAAACTATGTTAGACCCTGTAGATTGGGTGAATTGAAATCCAATTAGAAGCTATATGCTATAGTTTATATTAATTAATTAAACTCATGTTCTTGCAAAGATCCTTTACCTGAAAGTACAAATTTGTCTACCGACACAAACAAGTTTTAAAAGCCATATGCCTATATGATTCTCTTTGTTCACAAACATAATCAAAAGGGTATGTTTATTGATATATTTCTACAAAATTTTAGTCTTTCTATCAAAATCAAATTCTGTGTTTATGGGACAGGCTTCATGCTTTTCACGGGGATAAATTATTTTGAGAAGAATCCATGGATGAAAAAATCAAGCCAGCTCAGCAAGCACTCAAAACTGGTAAAAAATATTAATCATCCTCAGAAGCCAATGCTCTAGAAAAATCTAGACATGATTGACTTCTACAGCGCTCCCAAAATTTGTAACGAACATGAATGATCCTTGCATGAGAACCTTTCGTTTCCTATCGATCAGTTTTTTTAATGTGTATGCCAGAAGCAAGTTAAAAATATAAAACTTTATTAAAATAAAAATATTTATTATTTTAAAATTATTAAAATATCCCATGTATATTTTTCCATGATAATTAAATAACATGTACCTGTAGACATATGTTAAAATAATTATATACTAATTCATAAGATAATAAATGTTTTAAGTGTAGAATTACACATGATAAAATCTCAATAAAAGATCATTTTTTTAAAAATTATAGTATTTAATAACTTGATTTATAGTAGCTCATGCAATGTATAGTTATTTTATTTTATTTTAAATTAAATATACATATATTTTAATAATTAAAAAAATTATATATTTATAAATAACTATATATATAATAAAATTATTTTTAAAAATAATTTTAAAAATATATTTTGACTTTATAATTATGAATAATATGTATCAAAATGATAAAGATTTAATAAAATTAAATAATAAATAATTTTAAAATATAATTTATTTGAAAATAATAATTTTATTGTATAGCTTAAAAAATTAATTAAAATTTAATAATTAATAATATTTAAAAATAAAAAATTAAGATAATTTTATAAATAAAAAATAGATATTCTGGAAAAATTTATAAATTCATATAAGGTAATAAAAAAAATTTAATTAACAACTTTAATATCTAATAATTAAAATATAATTAAAAAATGAAAACAAAAAATTAAAATTATTACAACAAGAAAAAATATAATTTACACATTATTTTTAGTTAATTTTATTCTTAAAATATATATATATAACGGAATGTGAGAGTGACTTTTCTCAATCTTTCACTTCTTAAATAATAAATTATTATTTGTAGGATAAAAAGTTAATTTTTATTACATATAAATTTCACATGTTAAAAAAATTCCAGAGATTAATATTTCATAATATAAAATTAACAGTGATGTTTATAAAACCATTGTTCCTAAGATTTTGGGAAATTCCCCTGGACAAGTGGGGATGAAGAAGTACCTCAATGACATCACAGCAGCTGCTAGAGAAACACCAGCAACTGAATTGAAATTGGGAAGCTGAGACAGAAAGAAATGAATGGCTCCAAAAATGATAATCCAATAAGACTGTTTTAGTTGTGTGCAATTGGTGCATGCAATCTCCATGAACTTCTTTAGGCACTTCCCCCCAGTCACCATGTAAACAATATCACACCCAACTTGGACAATCAGTTGCTGAGGCAGCACAATCCATGGTCCAAGCTTTGGTCCAAAAGCATGCCTACCAAGATCAATGTAACGATCAAACCGGGTTCCTGGTACACACTCATGAAGTTGGATCATTTGCCACATTGTGTTTATGGTTAGGCACCAAGCTAACAACAACATCAAGGTTCCTGGAACCCTGCAAAGATAAGGTTCAAAAAGTACAAAATGAGTTAATTTTTCAGTTACTTATAACTCAAGTTCTCACTTTTTTGTGTTACTTTAAGCCTTAAAAGTGAAGTTTTACCATCCTAGATATGCCATGGCATAGGGCAGGCTGAGAACACCTGCACCAATCATGGCTGTCACAGTGTGAAAAGTCGAGTACCACCATTTGCCCTTGCGAGAGGGACCATTGTCCACCCATTTTTTATCTGATTGAGCTTCCTACAAGTGTGGAACATGTAACAAGAATTAGAAAAACCTCACAAGAAGAAACTGGCAAGGCAAAGACAAATCTAACATTGAAATTATCATTACCTTAGAAGGGGGAGAAGAAGCTGTCACCATTTTGATTTTGACTTACAAAATCAGAGAAGAGAAAAAGGACCCCCTTGGAATTTGGAGTTATGGTGAAACGTGTATCTTTTTCAGATGAAGCGGTTGATGCACATATATATAAAACAAGGGTTCCTATATTCTAAAGTTATCTTCTTATTAATATTTTTATTATTTTATAAATTAAAATATTATAATAACAAGAGAATAAAAATTTAGAATTACTCCTATACAAAATGTTTCATGTATTTATGATGATCAACAACATATCAGCACCTTACATGCTTGCCACTTGTGCACTTGGTTTCTGGCGATCAGTAGTCAATACTAGAATACTAGTAAACAGGAGCTTGACTTACAAGGAAGCTGCTTTGTTGGAAGAACAACTTTGGGTGACACAGCAAATCCCTCTGGACACATGTGGCAATGACAGAAACCCACTGACACTATGTGTACCTAGTTTTCATCACTATTCCCCCCTAACTTGTTTTTGTTTGTACCTAGTTCAAATCCTAACCACGTACACACAGAAAACTGTACTATAGTTTTTTCAGTGGAGTGTTAAAGAATACTCACCTTAACATAATTTTTTTTTAATACATGTTTAGTTTCTATTTTTTTTAACATACACAATATCTACTAAAAAATTTAATTTTTAATAAAAAGTATTGTATATAACTTTCTTATATGTGTAACGTTACAGGTTAAAAATTTGTTTTAGTTTTATTAAAAATTATAAAAATATTTAAAACATTATTAAATTAAAAATAAAAAAATATATTATTATTATCATTAATTATAAATTACCTTTAGTAAAAGATAACACATGGAATCACTCTTTTTGAGTGAACATTATTTAATTGCTCTATGGTGCTTTTAGGGGCCAGGAAGAAACTTCTTGACTTTATAGTGGGGTAAGTAAACTGGTCTGCTGGGGAATCAGAGGATCATATATTGGTATGATGTAATGGATGATCAATTAAAATGTAAAATTTTTCCTTAAGCAAGGACCCATTTCTGAAAAATTTGTTTAGTTTTTGGAATTGAGCAATGATGGAAACGTTTTGCTGGTGAATGAAAGGGATCTCACATTTAATCATTACACTTCTTGACTGTGGCCTTGAAAAAAAGCCATTTAATTTGTGGTTAATGATTAAAGTTTATGGCAGGCTGTTCATGTTAAAGTTGGTGGAGAGGTATCATCTTTCTCTATGAAAGATTGAAGCAAAGAAGGGTACCCCAGTAGGTTTTTTTATTTTAATGAAAAATGACTGCTAATGCTAGGGTCTCATGTTAAGTATACTAAAGAGAAACAGCCAAAATATTATCTTCATTTCTTTTATTATTTGCAAAGGCTGCACAAGATGTCAATTAATTGTATAATGGTTGCAGCATAAGTGAATCCAACTATTCATAATTATTTGAACTCAATTACTTGTAGAATTAAATTTATTTAAAGCTTATTTATGTACTTGCTAGAATGGCATTTCCGGGATTCCTGAGGCATATGAAAGGATGTTTTTTAAAGAAAAATATTCTTTTCTATAAACACAAGTTCATAGCATAGAAATAAATAGGTTTGTAATTGATTTAAAGAAGTTCAAACTTGAAACTCAACACCCAATTATACCGATGAATAAGACTTAAAATAGAAACAGTACTAATTTATATATTTTTATTATTTAGTAACTTATAATTTTGCATAAGACTAATTTCTGATGAAATATTGTTGTTAAATAAGCGCCAGCACTCAGCCAAAGAAAAAAACAACAGAAACAGTGGAAGAAAAAAAGGAAAAAAATATATACTCATTTTTGTTTCACTAGCTTTACTGTTTCCATTGACCGTTTCATTTTTTTTACCTTCCAATTTGTACCACATATTTAGTAACAACAATTCCTGATAAATCATTCATACAAAATGTTACCAGCTACCAGATAATTTTGCAAGTTACAAGTAAATTTTTATAAAAATCATAAAATTTAATGCACTCAAAATGATACAATAATACTAAATATTATAATTTTATTAAAATCTTACCAATTAGTATTTTTTTTTATTGTGTATCCTAGTACACAAGTTACAAAAACTAATTATAAATTTATATTTTATTTATAAAAAATAACTATCAATATTATTTTTGTCTAAATTATAAAAAAACAGAAATCAATTTATAAAATACTAATTAATTTATCATTTTAATACAATAAGTATTTCAAAAACACATTATAAATTTATGACATATAATCATCTTTCCTTAATTTTGATGAATGTTAGCTTTTTTATTTATTTATAAATATGATAAAAAATTGTGTTTTAGAAAAAATCTATAATATTAAAGGATTAAATTAGTTACATATATATTAAATGAATAAATATTTTTATTTAAACGAGTAATGATTAATTATTTCATAACACAAATCTTACGATAAATGATAATCTACAAAAATTAATAATTAATGTATCTAAAAATATATTTTTATTTCTGATAGTTAGGACAAAATATACTAATAATTAATTTTATAATAAATAAGATCAGGAATAGTATTAAAAAAAACATCAGAAATGGTTTCATAGGCATTGAATCTTGTTAACTACTTCCTTCTATCTTCTTTAAAGATACATTCTAGAAAAATTTATTAGCCCTTTATAAAAGATATTTTATATTTTCTATGAAGTTTTTATTCTATAATTTTATGAAGTTGATGGCAATCTAAATTAAATTCAATAAAGGTAAATGCTAAGAACGGAATAATCCAAACTTAAATAAACATAGAAGGAACGGATCCTTTATTCTTTTTTTAAGAACGGAATCGTGTTCTGAACAATCCAACTTAAATTAACAAGGCTTCATCTGTGCTCAGCTTTTCTTTTATGGATGAAAATATCCGAGAATGAGATATTATAAAACAAGGATATATTCTCCTTTAGTAATTGTCTAATTCAATTTATCAATTATTCCACTTTTCAGAATAAAAATATAAAATAAAATAAATCGAAATGAAGCATGCCATTAACTAATTGTTTAAAAAAATAAAACTATAGATTAAAGTCTTCTTAAGCTACTCATCTAATACAATTTCATATCATATATCAACCTCAAATTTTAGCTGTCTTTAAAGAGAAATATAAAATTTTGAGAAGTTATTTATGTCAATGATTATAATAATAAATTTTGTTCATGGTAATAAGAATATTATTATACTGATACGTAGCAATATGTAATTTTCATGATTGTCAAACAATAACTTCATAGTGACATTATGAAAATAATCAATTTCAAATCTTACCCAATTAGATGATTCTAATTAATCTTTCACATAGAAAAGAAAGGACAAGATGTATGGAAAGAGTTATTGACCATACATGTATAGTCTTCCTTTTACTCGAATGCTTTTGAAATAGATATAAACCACTTCATCCCTTATCTTCCACATACTTGTACTATCTACACTAATCGCATTATGCTATAGAATGTCTTTGTCGTTCGGAGGAGGAAAGAAAACGAAAACATAACCATTAACTCACCAAAAAACTGCAAGCCACAAAATAGTAGCTTTTCTTTGTTCTTGAAACCCCGTAAAGTATGGGCAACTGCTACAACTTAATATATCTGAAGGAATAAATAAAGGACAAGTGTTCCTACGTACACTTTCTCGATTTGCAGATAACTTTGACAAAGTAATTTTTTAGCATTGACATAACTTTTATATAATATAATGTGAAATAATTTATGTTGATATTATATTTTTGTAAATTTCAAATTTAATATTCATTTTATTATCTTTTAAAGAAAAATACATATTAACAGTATCTCTTATAAAAAGAGAAAAGATTATCTTCCTTACTAAAGAAAGTTGTTAAATGTTACTTGGGGTCATACAGGAAATTAAGGTTCCCACTGACACATAAAATAGCAAATAAGTGTAAAAATTATATATCATTGTCAAGTCAATTTTCAGAGGAAGTAAATTAGCTAAACCCTTTGTGAATTGTAGGTCTATTGGATCTATCTTCAAGTTAATATTGAAGATGATAAAGATGGAATTACGAGCAAGAAGAGGAGAGGGTTCCTACAAAGATATCTGACGCTTAAGTTAATGTATATTTTAGTAGAATAATATTAAATGAAATGACAATTTGTTTGATAAAGTGATGCATGTCCCTTATGTGGCTGAGACGTATGAGCCATTGCCACAATACTAGAACTTTACTTTGAGATAAATATAGTGAGGAATGAGCCTTGTAACTATTGAATTGTCAAGAAGCTCTTAGCATGAGAAGTGTGAGCTGGTGATTATGATTCTTTGTAGTTGGAAAGTAAACTAGCATATCTAATGGACCCTAGATAGTCCTTAAAATTTGTTACTCAATTTATAGAGAAAATTTTTCATTAAATAAACTAACAACTAGTGGCAACATGTTAAGAACAACCCTCTAAATTTGAGACTAGGGGAAACCTCCTACAAAAGAAAATAGGCAAGGAAATAACATTTTCTAACAATTTGATATAATTCATAAAACCTCAATAATAATTTATCGTACTTAACACCAGAAAGAGAGATATGTAAAAATAATTGTAATACGATCATGGACTTAAGATCCTTTAAAAAAAAATCTTCTCCTCAGTGATGTTTGTCCACTTAATTAAACCTTCATTTAGTTGTATTCCATAGATAAATTCTTTTGCAATAAAGAAAATCATGCAACATATTTTGGGAATAGAAGGAGAAGATATCATACATAACTTGGAAAAGGAGATAGGCCTAAAGTGTGAACAAACTAATGTATTGTAAGGAAATTCATCCCATCGAAGGAATCAAAACCACAAAGATGACCTATAATGTGCAAATGCTCATAGATTTTGCTGATTGATATGACCCATCACATTATTTTGACAATTGGTTTGTGGATGGTATAAAGAGCTCATTCGAGGTGCCACCAAAATTTGAATAGGTTAATCCAAATTTGGCTTATGAAAATAAGGTTCTAATATGAAATAATATTCTGAATGAGTAGTTCATGATTTTTATGAATAGTTACAAGAAAAAATTTAGCCACCTTGTAAGCTATGAAATGAGAGGAAAGGCGCCAAAATGAATTGCTTTGGAAAATTAACTAACCACCACCAAAGTATTTGTATACTAGTGCTAAGAAGAGAGACTAGCGATAAAATCCATCAATGAAAGGTTCTCCTAAATATTGGAAGGAATGAGAAGTAGTTGTAATAAACTATTTGATCTCTAAGTACTATACATAAAATTCTATCGCACACAATAACAATGCCGTAGAACCATCACGACACGACATAGACTCTTAGCACTCCCTTGGTGTCCATAGTGTCACACTTAGTGCGGTGATTGGAGTATTATGATTTAAATCTTAAAATTTTTGTCTTTACAGGTTTTGCATATAAAATCTTCTTTGTACTTCCTACACACAAAATAAAACCAGGGTAGCTCAATCTAGCAAGATTCCTAACAGCCCACAACATTTTTCTGATAGACTCTGGCAATTCTCACCATTTTTAACCAAGTTCCCAGGTGCATTCTCTAATTCCTGGGAGATGCATCTCTATTTGGGGAATTTTTAGCATTCTCGAGCCATTTTTATTTTATGTTCTCATCTATAATATACTTTTTAGCAAAGATCTATCTTTTTCTTAGCCTATCCATTTTTTTCAAACGGAAAATAATTCATTTCTTTTTGCTCTCACTGAAAATGTAAAGATCGCCGGTTTATATGTTTCTCTTCAACATATGATTGCCATGTTTTACAGTTTTTTTTTTTTTTAACATTGCAGAACAGACAAAGCGATGTGATTACATTTTTCACTATCCATTTTTTTAATTATTATACCATTTTTATTATTATTTCCAGAATTTGTACACATCTAAAATTTAATTTTTAGATATATAAAAAAATACTTTCAGAAAATAAATTTCAGATGTGATTTATGAATGAGTTTTATAATTTAATTTCCGTATTGTATCAAATACACTTTTTAAAAAATAAATTTTGAAAGTAAAATAAAAAGGTAAATATAATTAACAAAAGTTTGTAGCGCAAAAAGTAATTTAAATGAAGCGAACCAAAAAGCCCACAAAACATAAAACTGAAAGGGCAAACACAAACCAAATGATGAGACCAATGTTAGCGATCAATAGTTGTAATGGACATTTGGATAGCTTGAGATGTTTTATTTTGGAGTTACAAAAAGATGCTGAAAGAGAAGAGAGAGCACTTGTTAGTCAACGTTAATGAAAATGTTTCAATTAAAGGCATTTATCATCCAATGCATTTCATCCTCATAGATTGTGCTACATCAAAGCACGTGGTTCCACTAGATCTCTCCGTCCATCATACTCACGAGGCAATAATTTGAGCTTGGTTTGTGAAAGTTATGCAACTAAGATTATTGTTAATCAGGGTCTTACAAACACGATTTTTAATATGGCTTTGTACCTACCATACACCCAATACTTTCTAGCATGTTCTCAATATAAATTTTAGCTTCGGTTTTTAATGGCTCAATTACTAAAGAAATCAAATGGACAAACTACCTTTAATCTGTGATTTGAACCTCTCAGGGAGAGCCACAAAGTACGAGCTAAATACCTGTGACTGGATGCCAGAAATCTACTAACATATAAGTTTCATGTTCACAGTGATGCAACAGCATTATAGGGTCAGTTGTGGGGGGAACCATATGAAAATTTGAGCTAACTCATGAAGCCCCCTCCACCAATGTTTGTTGCTCCTTGTGATGAAACTTGTCCCTGAGAAACCAACTGTGACCGTCCAGGACCTTGAACATAGGCTTGACCCATTCCTGCCCCAACCATCTGTTGTTGCTGGGGAAGTTGCTGATGCTGCAGTTGCTGTAATTGTGGAAGCTGCTGCTGTGGCTGTAGTTGAGAGAGTTGTTGTTGTTGAAGTTGAGGTAGTTGCTGCTGCTGCTGGATTTGCGGAAGCTGCTGTTGTAGCTGGGAAAGCTGTTGTTGTTGGACCTGAGGAAGCTGTTGCTGCTGTTGTAGCTGCTGCTGCTGCTGTTGCAACTGAGGAAGCTGTTGCTGCTGTTGTTGCAGCTGAGAAAGTTGCTGTTGCTGCATGTGAGGAAGCTGCTGCTGCTGCTGTTGCAACTGTGGAAGATGCTGCTGTTGTGATTGCAGCTGCTGGTGCTGTTGCATTTGTTGCTGCTGCTGACTGGACAGTTGTGGCTTAAATACAACCATGTCCTGCTTGCATTCGAGGATTCAAGTAAGTAGGCAAGGTATAATTGATCCATAATTACAATAGAGCCTCAAAGTCAGCAACTAAAAGTTACCCCAGGAAAAAGCATCCCAATCAAGCGGCATGCTTTGTCAGAAACAGAGAGTAGCAACGTCTGTGATGGTAATTGAATAACTGCACACTGAAATCAAACAACCAAGTCATCATCATAACAAATCCCTCCTGCAAAAAATGAAATCATTGGTCTACAGACGTAGGGTAGACTTAAAAGGTTTACAGGTTAAGGCATAAAAGTTGGAACAAGTAATTCTTCGGATAACAATGTTACAGCAACCTAATTGAAAACCACAGAAAATTTGCATTATACCGAGTCCAAGGATGTAACCTATATTTAAAGAAATACTTCCACAATAGACACGTAAACCAGGTAACTTGTTGTGAAAAAGATGATAAAAAAGCAATTAAGATAGTTTGAACATATGCAAAGGTAAACAGGAGACACTAGTGAAAAGAGGAGATATGACTTTTAGTTTGGTAAAAAAAAGGTGTAGAGAGACTCAAAAGAAGTCTAGAAAAAATTATTACAAGGAATCTGGCAATAAATAATTTCTCAAAGAACTTGGTGTTTGATCAACGCCAATAGCATCATATGATCCATATATAGTGAGATAAAGCTTAGTTATTGGTGTTACTTTTTTTTGTCAAAGCTTCAAACAAACCATCTTCCAAGTAGAGGCACACCCAGTGCTCCCCAGTAAACCCAAGGGACATATAGATAAAAATCAAAACTAGCCTAGGATGTTATCCAAACAGCTTAAGCCTTGACTGGTCATTAAGCCAAATCATTGTGAGACAGATAAGAATACCATGTAACTTACACTAATCTTTTTATTAGTGACAAGTTTTATTATTAATTCAACCCTAGCTGGGATTAAGTTGTTTAGTTGAAATGCTCATAATACCAGACCTAAAATTCAGGAGCAAAAGCTGGAGGGACGATGCCAAAAGAAGTATTCATGAAAGCATTGACAATGCGAGAAAGAAAAACTAATCAAAATTTAAGAGAAGGGGGCCTCTAATATTAGAAACCTAAAGATAACTCACCAACTTCTTTTCTTGTAGCTGCCCAAGAAATCCATGTGGGTTCATTGCCCGAAAAACTAGGAAATCTGCCTTTCCTACATATTGTCTGGCAGCAAAACAAAATGTTAGGACCAATATATATATATATATATATATATATAGAGAGAGAGAGAGAGAGAGAGAGATAAGCATGTCAAAAGTTGAATTAAAGAATTACTTGTTATTCATGTGGTCCTGAGATATAAGCCGAACTATTTGCATCACAGGGGGCCAGTTTGCTGCAAGACTGAGATCAAATAAAGTAATATGTTAGTAAATCTAGAAAATTAATGAATTTAGCAGAAGATATAAGGCATCTAATGATGATTTAGTCAAATAACAACATCAAAATCAATTAAGCTTGGACTCACATCAGCATTGATGCAACAACCAGTTAATGTAAAAAATATAGGCCACAGAGACAACATATTCACAATAAATGAAATTAAAAATGAACATAAAAAATATCCATATCAATAATCAAGAATTGTATACTGCATATTCACCTTCTAAGATAACAAGTCTAAGAAAAAAATAGAGACTATCTTTTAATATTTTGACTTTTTTAAATCTGAAAAAAAAGAAAGATTTTTTCATAATACTAGTGTCCATCTACATGAAGGAGTTGGCTCAAATGTCCGAGTCCACAAAAATTAAAATTTTAATTAAACAACTATTGAGGAGTGTCATACAGGTGTTAGAGTCGAAAACATGCGTGGCACTCCAACACTTAAGCAAGAGAAGTTTCCATATAAATCTTAAACTTAATTTAGAATGATTTTGATAAAGCTGACTTTTAGGATAGAATTTGAGTGCTTGAAAATATGCTTTAAAAGAGCAACACATGCATTAAATACAAGTATGCAGTATCATTAATGAAACAAATAAGGCCATACCATAAGTGACAATTTTTGTTTAACAATTTGAATAAGGGACATTTGCCGAATACCTCGAGTATAATAAAAATTTTCACTTTTTCATTTGAAATCACTAAAGGCATGCATTTAACACCACTGAATTAATTGGCCAAAATTTTTTCATTTTCCCAATTAAATTCAGCTTCAAACAGACAAAATATACTCATCCTGATCAAGCATCATTAATTTTATGAAACAAAAAATACAGAAAAAAATATTAACTGCCAAGATATGGAACAAAAGATAGCATCTATTCTTCTGTAAAAGTTGCCTTTTATTCGAAAGCAACCATGCTGCCCAAAAGTTACCATTTAAACACATGCTCAAGAGTTAAAAATAATCACTGTTCAAGACATGGTCATAATTAACAATAAAAGATCAAACGTTTTAAACAAAATATACAAGTAAATAACAAAAAAGTAAAGGAAACAAATAAATTTCAAAACACAAACTCAAATTTCAATTTCAACTACAAGACATCTTAAACATTCAATAAAAAGTGAAGACGGGTGTTGCTCAGAGAAAAGAATAAAGGTTGAGGGTTCAGGGTTCAAAAGAGAAGTGATTTGAAGTTCAGAGTAGAGAAAGAATGAAGGGCATGTGTTGCTGGAAATAGTGTGGGTGGGTGTTGGTCATATGGTGCGGGTGTCACATAGTAGATAGAAGCATGTGAAACTACATCCAATTAGGGATTTTTTAAATTCTAAAAACAGGGACAGCTGAACAGATTTCTCAATTTTTCACACACCCCTCCCCAGAGAAAAAAGATATTGTTCAAAGGGTAAAATGAATTTTTCAAAACACCTCACTCTAGTGCCACTGTGGAAAGTATTTTTGGGTGCGATTGTGGCTGCTACAGCCAGTATTCAAACACAGCTATTCAAACTTTCTAGTTGCTCATGACACTCCAAACCATTATACCGTTGAAGCGCACTATTAATAACTTTGAGAACAACTAAATGAGAATATAATAATCAGTTTAAAAGAGCTCTCCAATCCCAATTACAACATTTGTTTGAATTTATTAGCAAATTTAGCACATTGGAATATACTTAATGCTCCCCCTTAAGTTGGTACATAATATAAACCAGTCCAACCAAGAATTAATTAGAGCTAATTAACAATATTATCCATAGTTGAAAATTATTCCAAAATGTGTTGAATGTGATATACCAAGACTAGCTAGCACAAATCTATGGCATAAATAGCTCCAAATACTTCATATTGCTGATTTCTTTTTATCTTGGGTAAACCTAGAAATTCTGTCTGTGCACTACCATAAATGAACACGACAATCAAACCTTACCTTATTAGGTGAGGTTGGCTAAATAGAAGAATGAATGGCAATGGACTCTTATCAAAAACACAAAAGTTCAGTGAAAAAAAATCTAGAACAGGGTTTCTCCCAAATCCTTCTTAGGTCCTTGTCTAGCCCTTTCAACAAACTATCCCCATGTGATTTGACTTTCTCATTGTTACCACCATTTATATTTCTATCATTACTCTTCCTTCAGTTTCATAGTGAGGATCTAGCCAGATCTTGATCCCTCTGTATCTTTAGTTAAAAAATTTGAATCCAACTTTCAGCTACAAACTTGTCGACCCATATTTTGCTTACTTTGCATTACAGCCATGTGCTGATGTAGAAGCTAATAAACTATAGTTCATTTAACACTCTACATCAGTCGTACAGATACAGGACACTAGTTACACTTAACAGTCAAGTATTAGCCCAGTTGCATTGTTGATCCAGGTCATAAAGGATTAAACAAAGTTTGACGATGGCTGACTACCAAACAAAACTCGTCTCTTCATCAAGGCCCAGGTCCATCTGTGTTTGGAAGGGAAAAACAAACATAACACAAATAGATTCTCCTTTGCTGGTGCAAAAATGCGGTATGATTGCACCCTAGCATAAATTGAAAATAGATAAATCTTTATTCTGATAAAAAGCTGATGTAGTATAAATTCCTTTCAATCAGCTTTCTGTCACTCAACATAAATTGCTGACATTGTTTTGTCGTTTCCTACGAGAGATTCATTTTATTTTTAAATTCAGCATAGTGGTTTTGTTAACTTATCCTCTGTTGCATTTTCAGGGTCTTAATAGATAATATTTATTTTTCTATTAAAAAAATCATAGCATAAATTATTTATCAATCAAAATGAACCCAGTACTAGAGAATTGTCTCCTGAAAACCATCACCAAGGAATTCAAACCTTTTGACAAAACAAATAAGGCAGGTGAAATCAGTAACTTCTTTGAAACTTAGGTTTAAAGATTAAAATCAAGTCAACAGCAAATGATGATAATGATGATGATGACAAAAACAATATTGTCATACACTTCAACCACATATAATATTTTCCAGATTTCTTCTGGGAAGAGATAATACAACTTCCGGAACTTACTTCTCAGAGGCAGAAGAACTCCTGTAACCCTGTGACAAAGAAATTATGCATCAGGATCAAACAACAAAGAACTCACCAGTTGCTACAAAATTACATCAATTGTCATAGTTAATAATGAGACTGAAAAGGCCATAGTAACAGGGATCTGACCATAGGCTGGCCAAATGAAAAACAGAACTCAAATAAATCAAAATCAGAAAAAAAAAATATCATGGATTTGAGAACGTACTTCAAGTTTGGTGATAAATACCGGCTGTCCTTGTCTTTGGCCAGACAAGCTTCCCTGCATAAATTTCTATTGTTAAATACATAGAACTAATTCACAAGCATGCTAACAGTTTAGCACTTCCCAATTATTATTCAACAATTCAGAATTATGAAGATATAATTACAACCATCAGTCAGCATAAATATGATAACAACATTTTATGAAGATCACTTTGATGAGATATGTGAAGATTTCCTAGTGCTTATTTAAGGTAATTTCAAAGAAGAAAGAACTAAGGAAAACTTGTAGTGCACCCTAAGCTAAGGGCATATTAGACTAGGTGTACCCAGTGTATATACAAGAATAGTATAAATACACAGAAAGATACATTATTAGTAAACCTCACCAAATGAATTCCCTCTCCGCCACTCACTCTTAACATGTATCATAACATTGCACCAAAACCAGTTTCTCATTAAAGAACAAAAGCAGTTACTTGATGGTATTTCTGAGAAAAGCTTCCACAAATAATGTCACTCAGGTAATTAGATAGCACTAGTAGATTTCTTCACAAAAAAAACCCCCCATGTTACTCTCGCTAATTTCAACCATAACATTCTGTAAGTTCCAGTTTGGGATGCTGTTTTTAGCTAGAAGAGTAATTTTGTGTAGCACAAGCCTTGTTTAAACATACAGTTGAATAATAATAGTGTTAAAACTTAAAAATAGGAAAGCATGTTGCTTCAGCCACACACATTTCTACTCTTAAGTGTGTTTGGATTAGATTATTTAGTGTTCAAAACAGCTAGTATGCAAAAGTTTACAGATAAAGCTATAGAAAAAAAAATTACTGTCCCAAATTAAATCAAAACCAAAGATGCTACAAGTTAACTTATTTAGTTATGTATATCTGTTCTCTTAGTTTTCTTATAATTTATTTCCTTCCCATCCATTTTTTTCATTTTCTCCTTGGTGCTCCATATGTAAATTTCCGATAGGTCCCCTCGTATTTTCGATATGAATTGGAAATACTTTTAAAACATAATCATTGAAAAGGTTCGCACTGGATTTGAAAACATGGTTGGCAGTGGGTCCAGCAAGCTGACAGTTGTCTCACATCAAGCTCTGGGTACCATGTTGAGATGAGATAAAAAAGAAATGTGAAAATCCATGTTAAATGACACAGCAGAGGCAATATATACTGTTGATACAATAATTACAAGGATCCTTAATATCTTAATCCCCATAATTAAAGGGTTGAATAATATATTTACATATATTCCACCCATCTGCATTCATAGAACCACCTTTATATTTTCCATACATGAGGCATAATTGTATATCACAAAATAGGACTTTTGGACAAAGACAATTATATCAAATAAATAATGAAAAAAAAATAAAGGAAAGAAATCAATGTAATTATGATAAATAGGAACAAAAATGTTTTGTTTTAACATTAGATAAAGCTCTGGCACTATGCAATGAATGTCGTACTAAGAAAAAATATGGGTAAAATGAAAAACAGCAAGCATCTACATACAGTAGATAATTGCAACACACAGGCTGAAGTTCTCAACATCCAATACACACACAGACAATAATGTGTAAAGGCAAGATTCAAACAAGTGATAAGATGCCAAAATGTTGCCATAGGGAAACCATAATAGAAAGGGCACTGAAAAACAGAAATTGCAATCTGGAAATAAGTCTAACTTTCTCCAAAATTGAATGCCGATCAATAAAAGTTAAAATTGATGAAACGGTAAACACCAGTGATGCTTTGCCCACCTCACTACTCTTAAGATTCATATATAAGCTTTAAAAGATATAAGAGAAATAGCACTTGGTTATTCTTACATGTATTGCAAATGATGATAAAGATAATAGGATGCCCATCATGCCAAACAAAATAAATTAATAACAGAAAAATGATGAAATAATAATTTTTATATTAGGTAAAATTTATACTAAACAGACTAAAATTTTCAGTAGAAAAGAGAAGGGCAATGTTGTAAACGTCTGATGGATGAACTTCTATGTGGATTAAAGGAGGAAGTGAACATACCTCCCAGACCTTCACATATTTGGATTGTGCAGATTGCATACCCCCTGATGCTTGTTGAGACAATGGCATATTGGGTGCGGCACTGTGTGGCTGCATGCCTGATTGTACTTGTTGAGACATTCCAGGAGTCGGAATCATTGTGCCAGTTCCAGAAGAGACAACTGATGGACCAAGGCCATTAATTACATTTTGGTTCATATTAACTCCACCTTGCACCATTTGGGGCCCTGAAAGGTTTCCTTGGCTCATACCAGGTACCTGTTGTCCCATGCTAACAGCCCCTTGAAGATTACCCAATGGTTGTGACATGCCAATGTTTGAACTTGAAGGCAAATTAGAAGTGGCTGAAGTTAATGAACTAAGACCTGAGTTTGGTCCAACCTGTGTAGGAACAGTAAGCGGTCCAGAACTAGTTATTGATGTTATTCCTGACTGTCCAGATGAAAATACATTCTGAGCTGCAGGCACTGAAGATGCCATCCCACTAGATATCATGTTTGACATGTGCATAGCAACAGGAGTCTGACCCATTGATGGTAGTCCCATTGAGGTTCCACCACTTAACACCTGCCGTGCTTGAGAGAGATTGTTCAAAATGTTCACATTGGCCTGGGCAGGATTCACTGGCCGTAAGGGCTGCAACATTGACACTGTAGGCTTTGTATCCTGAGCATTTTCATTATTTGTTATAATATCTTGAGAAATAGAAGATGGAGAAGATGTCTGAAAGGTTGGAACTCCTTGACTAGTACTAGTAGCACGAGGAACAGATGAATTATTAGGAAAAGCAGGTGCAGCTACCATGGAAGTTACAGGAACTTGCTCCTGAAGAATTATTATGCAAGTCCAGGTTCATTTGAAAATATTGAGTCAGAAAAACTAAAACCAATCCCCATTGTTTAGATATGCTAGGGGCAAGGGCTTACCACTTTTACAGTAGCAGGAGCCACATTCCCAGCAGGAATTGATTGCCGGTTTGCAATAGATCCATTAACTAAAAATCCACAGAAAAATCATGTAAACTATAGTAAATCTCCAACCAGAAAAGCAAAATAAACCACTTACATTTGTTATCAACTGCTGACCAGTGACCAAACAAACAGGACTACCCCAAAGCAACCACCTAACAGCTGTTTTCCTAACTAACCTTTCAATCAAACAGACAAGACAGTAGTATCCATATTGACATGAGAACGAATCCTACTCATTTGGCCATGTTTGTTGTGGTTGGTAGTTTTAGGTTTAGAAAATTTTAAAAACTAAAACCAATTTTCAGTTTTATAATTTTTAGTTTCAATATTTGTTTTCAAATTTTAACACCAAATCTTAAAATGTAAACAATACAAATTACGCATTCTCAAACCATGCTTATTTTATGACAATTTGAGGATGAGGGCAAGGATAAGGGGGAGGGACTGGTGGCAGCAATAGCAAAGATGGACTTGTGGTGATGGTGATTATGGATGGTAGTAGCAAGTATAGTGGTAACGAAAATGTTAGTGGTAGTGACAAAGACTTAGTGTGATGGCAATGGGGGTGGTAGCAGCACAAATGATGATGATAATGACGGGGATGATAATTGTAGTGACTGCAACAATGATATATGCTGTAATGGTAGTAGTGATGATGGTGGTACTTACAACAATGGTCCTTGGCTAGTGGTGGTGGGTGGTAACAGCAGTTAACTAGTGGTAGCAATGACAATGATGGTGGTGGTAGTGATGGTGTATATTTTAGGACAGATGAGACAAATGATTTGTTTTACAACCAAAAACGAAAACTACTTTTTTTGGTTTTAAAAACTGAAGTAAAACTGTTTTCAAATTGAGTTAAAAACTAATTCAGCTCCATTTTAGCCGTTTTAGCAAACAAAAAAAAACTGAAAACTTGCAACCATCCCTAAAAGGCCCTTAACTTTTAGATGCATAACAATGTCATGAATAAGTATTTCCAGATCAATTACTTCTACAAAATTCACTGCTGCAACATTTATGCTACTATGAAAGAAGTTATAAGAATAGGAGAAATGCATTATAGTACATAAATTCTCCACAACCTTAAGATTAGCCGATATATTTCTCACCTTTAGGAGGGGGGGAGACTACAATTTAAAATTGAAGAAAAAACCCCAGCAGCTGTAGGTTTTGCAGTTAGATATTTAATTTCAGTGTTAGAAATAAATAAATAAGGTAATTGTGGGCTGATTTTATGTTATATATTACTAAGTAATTATGGTAACTGTAAATCCTCATATTTATAACATTCTTCACTGCTGTGTAATTGAAACACATGGAACTTATCACATGTCTCTCATTTTTTCCCTTACTCAACATAGTATCAGAACCTGGTTTTGATTAAAGGATCTGTGGGTCATAGGCCCACAACTATGAAGCATTAAACCAAACCTTAAACTAAGGGGGAAATCTGGAAAAAAAAAAAAAAAACAGCATCTCTAATATTGGTTATCAGAATTACAATGTTACAACTTACAAGTTTCAAAAAATGATAGAATTAAACAAATCAACCGGAAGAAAGGCAATGGATAATCACAGACAGGAGGACAGGATACCCTGAAAAGACTAAGTGCATGTTTGGTTCAGCTAATTTTGAAGAAATAATCATTTATTTTTATTAACTCCGTTAGAGAGCTTTCGAAAACTTGGCATTTGTTTTTCTAAGATTTAATCATTCCTGGACATGCTATAAGGGACAGAATGCCAAATTAAATCCATCAACGTAGCCAGATTCTACAAGTTCAATGTACTTAAGAGATTCTGTTCGGACAAAAAAGTAAATCTCCCTAGGAAAGTCATGAAGACAACAGAGTGATAAATGGACTATCCCTATAGCCCTAGAAATTGCAATTTACTAAAATATGAGAATTCTATTACAAGTTCAGATACTGAAACAAATTACATAATGTACTAAAATACTCTCCCTCCCTCCCTCCCTCTCTCTCTCTCTCTCTCTCTCTCTCTCTCACACACACACACACACACACACCGCAGCCACACACAAAAACAGATCTTCTGAAGAAAATTAAAGATATATACATGTGACGTAAGGATAATCAAGAAATATAAAAAAAAAAGCCAGCAAACTATTTAGTTTCAGAACATGACACTGAAATAGTCTGAAATAGTCTTTGATTAAGAGATGTGTATACAGAATGTATAAACAACCTGATGGCATAGAAGTTGGGGGTGCCCCTGTAACTGGTGTGACAGAAACTGCATCTACTTTAACAGGACTTTGATTTGAAGGTAAGCTTGTGATCCCAGAACGACTCAAAGCACCCCAGGCTTCCCTGAAACCTTCTGATATTAAAATAAGAAAATAAGGGGTTTTAGCCTCAACTGGTGGATCAGCTGCTCTGCTATTTCGTTTTCCCTACAATGCCAAAAGAATATGATCAATATCATGACAAAACTCAATAGCAGATAAAAAGAAAATAGTTGGTCTCTTAGAATGACTGTATGAACAATGTTGTTACTTTTATGAACAGATTTTCTTATTAAAGTTGGTTATTTTTAATAAAAAATGTTCTGGTGTTACTATATTTCATGTTCTCTGTTCTCTCTTCTAAAATTCAAAATTAATTTGCTACCTCTATCAAAATTTTGTGCACTGATAATCCTCATTAATATTAGTCTGCTTTGTTCCAATCTTTTTTTTACTTCACAGGGCATTATTCATCAGACCATAATTATCAATCTCTGAAAGCAGCGCATATTGACCAAAGCCAAAAACTCTATAGCAGGACAGTACATGGAATGGCCACTATTTTAAAATTTTATATAAAAATTATATAATATATATAAAAGCTCAGAAATTTAGAAAAAAAAAACATATAAACAATATTGTTGGTTGCAATGTCGGTTTAGGAGCATGGGAAACTATCTCCAATAAGGAATTTTAAATTCTAAAAAAGGGAAGAGAAATATCAATGTTACTCCTAAAAAATACCCCAAAACAATGCCTTTTTGTCATAAAAGTGATTTTTTAAAAAAAATTTTACCATAATGCTGCAACACCATTGCTATAACCACTATCTAAAATAACTTTACTATTCAAATTTGTAGCGAACTATGACCGCTCTGCTTCACTTAGCCATTATTGATAACTATGCATCAAACATTATATGCTTGCATGCCACAACAAAATAGTATTGCTGAAAGGAAGATTTACACTTGATTGACAAGCTCATACCCCTACTCTTCATCATCATTTCCCTCTTCGATTCTCAGGTGATGCACTTCTCATGATATGTAACTTAATCAATTGCATGTCTTTTTTTGTCTTCAAAAATCAAGTTCCATACTCTCTTGTTTCCTAACCAGAATCTCTATTCTTTTTCTCCTCATGGTTTTTTTAGTACATTTTTTGTCTATCATCTCACTCCAAATAAAGGTAAACTCTCCGCCAAATTATAAGTGTGTGTTTTTCTTGACTACTCCCGCTGCAGAAAGGTTATCATTGCTACTCTCTGTTGCTTCAACGATATATTGTTTCCACTAATATCACTTTCTTTTAAACATTTTTCTTCTTCTCTTCTTCCGTTGACAGCAGCTCCAATAATTGCTCCCACTCCACCTCCCTTGATCACTTAAGAGTGACAATCTCACCCTCAATTCATCTCTCCTCCCTCTGACACTCCAAATGTCCTACTCCAAGAACATTGCCTACACTAAATCTTCCCATTGCCTTATGCTAAGGTATTTCAGTCTTCTTACAATCCTAATACTTTATATGCTAGCACTTACAATTATATTTATCTATCTCATTTCTATTTTTCTTTTGTTTTTTCCTTGGATTCTATGTTAGTTACCAAGACTACAAGTGAAGCCTTAGCTAATCCCAATTAGATACAGACAATGTTGGATGAAATGACTGTTTTTCTTTCTAGTGGCATTTAGGAGTTTGTCCCCTTGCCTCTAGTTAAGACTACTGTTGGCTGTCATTGCCCATTGGCTTCATAGAGTGAAGATTGGACCTGATGATCATATTTATGATTTACAAGGTTGCCTAGTAGTTAAAGGATATACACAAATCTACAGCCTCAACTATGGAGACAAGACACCTTTCCTCCCAAGGCCAAGATCACTTCAATGTGCCTCTTTTGCGTTGGTTGCCATTTATCATTAGCTTCTTCACCGATTAGATATTAAAAATGTCTTCTTGCATGGTAAATTGCAAGAAGTGATTTACATAGACAAAGCACCTAGTTTTACCACAAGTGATTCTTGCCTTGTTTGTCAATTGTGTCATTCTCTCTATGGTTTTAAGCAATCCCCTTGTACTAGATGTAATGTGAGACTGATCACTCTGCCTTCTCCATTCATTCTTCATCCAGCAAGTGCATTTATCTTATCTATGTTGATGATACTCAGTTTGAATACATTTCTAAGAAAAACGGAACATATGACATATGTGCTTCAGCTTGAAAGGAAGTGTTAGAAAGCATATTTATCATGTGTTAATATTTGTAAATAGCAATTACTATAATTAAGGTACAGTCATTATCATAATTAGGGGATTTGATTGATTCTTTGTACTCTAATATATGATTATAAATACAAGTGTGTGGACATCTAAGACCCACAACATTCATATATTTCTCTCTGTACAAACATTACTAGTTCACAGCATAAATTCTTCTACGTCAAAATTCAGTAGTGAATTTTCATTGCCAAATAAAAACCCATTATTTAATTTTAGACAGCATGCATATAATATGTTTCGTTTGCCATCCTTTTAAAAATAAACTAATAAAGACATTAACATTTTAGTAAAGAGTGATATGCCATCCTCACCGCATTGTAGATGGCTTTAATTTTGGGAAGTTGCTTCGGGCAGATGACTGACATAGAAATAGAAAACTGCATGCAGAAGATCACATTCCATTGATCATAAATGAACAATTAAAAATGAAAAGAATTAGAAATTAATTAAGTTCACAGCAAACAAAAAACATAGTGTGTCATTAAATAAAATAAAATAAAAATAAAGAATACCTGAGGAAATGCTTTAGCAACAGCTTCAGCATCATATAAACGGTTCCCTGCGTCTGAGTCAATGGTTTCACTCTGCTCTAGGTTCTGTGGTCGCGGAACATAAACTGGTGTCTGCAAGGCATAAGGATTACTTGCTGCAACAAGGATACAATGCTTATGCATATCCACATTCTGCTGATTAGGGCTTCCATTTTGAGAATTTGGGAACATCTAAGCATTCCAAGAGTGAGGTGTGAGCATCAAAATCCACCTTTTGAGGCCAAAGAGATGTCCATAAAGTTTCTAAACAACAGTTATAAATTATGTACTTATTTAGGAAACCCTATTATAGGTTATGAACTATAAGGACATATCACACTGAAATTGCTAAAGACTACACGCACAAAAATGCATTCAAGCTATGAAAAGATGTCCAAAATAAGTGTATGGAGGTCCAGGTTCTAGTACACTGATGACATGAGTAATGACAGAACAAAAGACATTAAAAGAAACGAATACATCCACTGAATAGCCTAGACTCTCCATAATTGGAATTTGGAAAAGAAAAGCACAGATTCCAGAAGCTTGAACAAAGTAGCAGCCACAAAGAACAACGTTTCAGTCCAAAGGGATTACGAAACATACACACCTCTCTTATATGCAGTCTTAGGGTTGAACTCATTTCTGACACCAATGCCTCCTAGACCCTTTTTAACCCATGTCAAACACTATTCATTAAGTGTCTAATTAAGAAAATATTTTTTGTCGGCTCAAACACTTAAACTCAACACCTCCATACAGCTTGGATACTTGACCACACTTTTCAGTATGAATGGATACACACTAGTATTGTTATTAAAAAAATTCATTTTTTTAACTTTTAGAAGAGTTAGCTTTAAATACAATATAAAATATGAAGAAATCATGCCTCTTCCTTTTTTTCTGTAAGGCTCAATATCATAAAACATACAACACCTAGCATGTTGGTTTGAGCTGAATACACCTTTTTTGAAAGATATAATTTCATCTTCTTGTTTTGGGAATTTTTATAAAGAGAACAAGTGCTTACATAGTAAAATAATATTCCTTAATATTCTTTTTTAAGACTTATTATTATAGGAAATTGTGTGTCTGTGTGTGTGTCCTAGTATCTTATATTTTAGACATTAGCTGTATTGAGTATTCATGTCCATGTCATGTCCAATACCCATGTCAGTAGGTACTTCATATCTACCAATTAAGCTGTTCAATATTTGTTATAACTCATAACTGCATTCTATGACTTCTATCTAATAGGGAAAAACATTGGACGGTTTTGATGCATTTTTTTGGATAAAAATAAATTTAAAAGAAAGAAACAGAAAGAAGTATAAAAGCTGGGGGGCTAGGGGCTCCTGAAGAACAGTGATTAAAAGCAGGAAAAGAAAAAGACAGGCTAGGGACCTTTTAATCCATTTAAATTTTCTTGACTTGGCTCTAGTTTCTGTGATAGCAGCACAGCCAACCCCAAAATGCTATAATATCACTATAGATTATATAATTTATACTAAATACACACACAAATGCTTAAAAATGAAAAGATACTCAAATTCATGATATCAGTAATTAACAATAAAAAATTCAAATGTCGAGCTAAGACCTAACTCAATCTCAAAAGTTAGCTTATAAAGTGAGGATTGTTTTAACTTTTATAAGCTCTTATTTAATCATATTTATACTAAATATGGAATTCAACACATTCTCTTACACTCAAGATTGGACATTTAGAACGTGAAAATTGTAGGACTAATTTTTTTTAATATTGTGTGGGGAAAGGTGTGCACCAGGTAGGTTGCACTGAAAAGCCACAAGGCTGGGTAGGTTGTGCTGAAAAATTCATGGGACCAAGTCAATTGCATTAGGAAAATTTGCGGGGCCAATTTTTTTTTTCAGTGAAGGGTGACCTAATATCATTATTAACCATCTTCAATTTAGGCTAAGGTCTAACTCAACTCTAAAAGCTAACTCGTAAGGTAAAGATTGTTTTAACCTTTATAAGCTCTTATTTGGCTTTATTGTAATTGATGTGGGACTTCAACAATAAGTGTAAAGAAAAGCCTAATAGTAAATAACAACAAAAGTCCAGGAAGAGCCACTCTTTTGAGGCTGCCCACTGTTGCATGGAGGAGAGAACAGAGAACAAAACAGGGGGTGTCAAGTGTTCGAGTTTCAAAAAGAAAGAAGAGTGAAGAATAGGTAGCACCAGAAAACCGCCAGAGATGGGTGGCTCTGGTTGCACAAAAATAAAGAGAACAAAGTGGGGTCAATCCTCAAACAGAAGAGATGAGAAACATGGGAAATTACTTGGGTTAGGGTTTTGAATATTCTGATAAAGGTTGGAAATGTCGGTTTTCCTTACTGTGATCCACCATAAGTTTAGCTTAAATACAAACATCCACCATTAAAAGTTAAAACTGCACTGCAATATAACTATCACTGTCATCCACCATAAATTTAGCATAATTACTTGAATAATTTTGTAGGTAATTTTTTTTTCACATACTCAACCACAATATTATATTCACTTCCAATAATTAAACATGGGAAAATTTCCAAGTACCATAACTATCACATTGATCCAGACCTTGTCCTACATCCCCCAAATGTTTACAGTTTACCTACATTCCATCTATTACATAACAATATTATGATCAAAATAAAATATACCCAACACATAGAGTAACAAAGCAAAGCATCATATGTATGTAAAGAGAGTGAGAGAGAGAAAAGAAATAAAAGGAAGCGATATAAAGGAATAATAAGGATCAGATATATATCAATGAAAATTGAAAGACTACAAGCAAACAGGAAACTAAATGTAGACATTCATACCATCAGAGCTTCAGCAAGCCCTTCAGCAATTGCTGCATCATTAAAACCACCACCATTAAAGGGTATAGATGATAGCCACGAGAAGAAAACATCTGGGTCTCTTGTCCAACCAGTCCGTTGCACAAGGAAACCTGCATCCGATGATGCTCAACTAAATAAAATAGACTTCGTAGAGTAGTCAATTGCATATAAATTTGTTAGTGTAAAGCTAGGAAGAATTTAAGCAGCATAATCCAAGAGGTTATATTTTCAATAAACAGTGATTAGATAAATTTAATAGTGCACAACACATAAGTTGCACAAATTATATATTTAAAAACTATATCTATCTGTCCTTTTTCTAGCAAGTAAGGTAAAAAATTATTTGAGATGCAAACCAGGTGTAAATAAAAATAACAAAAAAAATTAACTGGTACAAAACAGCTGAAACAGCATTGTTCTGAAGTTTTGCAAAAATTTCTGGATGAACAGTTTATAAACATCTATAATTCATATAACATGAAGAAAGAAAATTTGCAAAACTATACCAGAATAACATCCGTGAGTATTATAGGTGACTAGAGCAAACTCCACATTAGAAGCAGAAGATTTCTGACAAGCAAAGGGGGGAAACATAACATTAATATATGAACCATATGATCATCATCAGACAAGATAGAAACAACATCACATCTACTAGCATGATTTCAATAAGTAAACTTCAGACATCTCAAAAATCAATCAACAATGAGCTAACAAAACCATTTTCGAATAGTGACTAACAATATTAATATATATGATAGTATTTTTCCATGTAGAGAGAAATTTTAGGCTTAAAGCATAGCTATTTCTTTTGGAAAGTCCATGAAAATAACTAACACCTATTCACCAAATATGATATACGACAACTAAATCAGTAATGTGCAGTGACACATTAGATACTAGCATTTTCCTTTCCTTTTGCCAAAGATTGTGAAATTTTCATCAAAGCAAAATGTGTATTACCTGCCCTGTTGAGTCATTCCCACCAAAACCCCTGTACAAATACCATAATAGGTTAAAACAAGTGCATGTGCATCACATCCTCTATGACAATATACAAGCTTTAAAATAACTTGACCAGTAAGACAGCAGGAGAAAACTGAAATGCACATATAAACAAAAAGAGAACCTTAGAACCTTTAGTCATATTGGCCAATGCATGGTTTCTATTGAATACCAAAGTCCTAAGCTGATAGGGAACAACACTAGCTATGTTAAGCTAAGACTTCACTTGAATTCCAAGTAAGCATAGCACAGAAGCCAATTTCATTCATAAAAAAGGTCATTTGCAATTTTTGGTGAATTCAGTTCACTGTCCTCTGGGTTAGAGCTGTTTCTTTTGGGCTTTCAGGTTTCAGCAGAAATAAAAAGATGATGGTTTTATGCCTACATGCTGCCTATTGATGCATTTGACAGGAAAAGAATGTAAGAATATTTAAGTCTTCTACCCTATCTTTAGATTTATTGTAGGATTGCCTCAGGACCTTCCTCAATTCACTGCTTATGGCCTCTAAGGGACAAGATCAGAGAACCTTATTGTATTGTTGAATACTTTTTGTAGAAAAAGGAAATTTTATTAGAGAGATAAGAAAATATAACCAAGGGAGGATAAGAAATCCTCCAAAAGAAAAAACAAAAGACAAGATAAAACAAAGACATAAACCTTAAGAATGTAACAAGGCTGACCATCTCTCTACTACATCATAGGATCAACCTCCTTGGAGCAACAGTGACCCAAATAGAATATAAATCATAACAAGTTTAAGGGCAAGAAGTCAACCCTAAATAAGTGAGCATTCTGCTCCAACTAAATACACCAGATGACAGCATAAACAGCTTGCTTCATTTTACTTTGTTTTCTTTTTGTCCCTCTGTTCCAGAGGGATATTTTTCCCACCATCTCTTTTAAATAGTCATCTGTCCAACAAACCTTCAATTGCCATCAATAAAAAAAAAGGTGTTATCAGTTGCCTATGGTACAAGAGGACTTCTTCTAAGTGAATAAATAAATACTTTTGCTTGGCCCTTTAATAATATTTATATCTTTGAGAGTCAGAAAATCTCATAATTCATATGCAAATATATTTTTTTAACAATATGCTTGACAAGGTTTTGCTTTTACAGTATGATTAGGAACCAATAATTGGTATTGCTTTTCCTTTGTATATTATTTCAAGCATGGTAGTTAAAATTGGGAGTTGAATGGTAAAATTGCACAATTTGACGATTTTGGAGGCCTAAATGATTTAAATCGCAGCAAAAATTATTCCCTGGTGAAATTGTAATGAGATAGGGAGCTAAATCATAAAATTGGGATTCACAATAATTTCATGAAATCCCATATTCAGATCCAAATCTCAACCCAGTTCATTCATAACCCAATGGATATGGCCCAATTTTGAAGGACCTGACTTATATTTCTGTTCCAACCCTAAGTCCTGATGTCCTAACCTAGTCATCCGTCCTTCTTTTCTTTCTTACTCAAACCCTAGCCAACATTGGTGACAACCAGTCTGACGATGCGTGACCTGGTCTGCAGCCGGCCATGATTGTGGCTTCTGCACAAACTTTTGGTGGTTTCATTTACTCCAATCTTGCTCTATTCTTCTCTTGGGTTTTCTTCTCATCTTGCTCTGTTTTTCTTATCTTGTTCAACTCTGAAAATGACTGTGTTTATGCCTTGTAACTTGTCAAAAAACAAAAACTTGGTGATTTGTGCCACTTTGCGTTGTTACTATATGGATTATGCATGACAATCATATGGAATATGGATTATGATCTATCAATGCAAGTTTTTTTAAGTGCTTTTAGTGAGTGATTTAATGGTTTTTTAAAAACTTTATGCTATTTTATAAGCATAATGAATTTATATGCATGTATATATGATTTTTGTAAAATCTTACAATTTGATTTGTGGTTTGTATTCCCCTTTACAATTTGAAGAAAAGTCCAATTTTAATTACCTTGCTTTGAGTAAGGAAAACTTGTAATGACTACCACTAAAGATTGGCTCAACTAGTAGGATCAAATAGCATCAACAAAATGGCATTGGGTTTGATTCCTTATGGTGCTCCTTCATAGGTAGGGCATCTATAAGTACCACCGTAACCCTCCTTAAGGTTTGTTGCATGACTAAATTTGGAATTGGGTAACCTCCCCTATCCCAAAACTTATTAATACTGCTATCTAATCCAGAGCCAGAAGGATCAATATACAGAAGTATTTAGCCCAAAATTCGGAGCATTGCACTCCAAGCAAATTGAATGAAACAATAGAGAAAGAATCATAGTTCCTCAAGGATCTTGCAAAAGATTATCAGCAAGCCCAAATAGACTTCTCATGTTCATATAACCAAGAGAAAGACATCACCAAAAGAGCCTGTCTTCTCAACAACAGTGGTAAAGACAAAAAAATGCATCAGAGCTTTATGGACAAATGGGCACGATGCCAAACATCAGTAACAAGACTCAAATCTAGTAGTAAAAGTCAATGCCCATAAATAACAGTTTCCCTCCAATAAACTCATTACCATTAAACAAAAAAATTCAACAACGACGAGCAGCAACATGGTCTCGTAGCTACTAGCTCTACAAGAAACAACTACATGTTTCAATCACCCAAAAGAAAATAAATATTTAAAATTGCTATTTCAAACAAATGCTTAAACTGACATCTAACTTCACCATCACACCAAATTTGACATAATAAAAAAGTAGGATTTCACCACTAAATGTAGACGCCTATCCAATTGGAAATTCAAACCATGCTTAAACTATTTCAAACAAAAAGATTAAAACTTTCCTCTAACATCACCAACACCTATGGACTACACCACCTCAAATCCTGAACACCAACAACACATTAAAAAAAAAGCGTTTCGCCAAGAGCAACAACATTTATATTTCTTTTTCGAAATCAATAAAAATCAACCAAAACGAACCACAATTAACGCACGGCACAGAAATCAAAGCCTTAATCCCACCCAACTCACACCAAAAAAATTAAAAATAGTTAATCCGAAATTCTTATCGAATTGTAAAAAAAAAAAAAAGAAGCAATTGATATGGAAAGATAAAATAGAAGAGAAGGGGAACCTGATAATCTTATCAAGGTAATCCACGAGAATGTTCTGCCAATAGGGTCCCATAGCAGCGGTGCTTTCGACAGCAACGATGAGCTGTTTCTCCGCCATCTGGCAAAATTCTAGGTTTGGGATGCTGCTGCTGTTGTTGTCGTTGTCGTTTTTGGGATTGGGATTGGGAATGAAACGTATCTTGCTTCAGTTTCAATTTATATGGGGAATTGAACAATCATGTTGCATAGTTGGAAATTTGGAAGGGTGCATTCAAAGGATTACCATAACAGCAAAACCAAATGAAATAGTAGAATCACACTCTTTTTCTTATGAGGATTTTTTCCGGTGTGGGGATGATTATGGTAGCTAGTGCAGTGACCACCCCGGGGAGAGTGAGTGTTTGGGTTTTGGTGTTGCCTTCTTTTGAATTTGATTTGCCCAAATGCTTCAGAAGACTGTTGTCAATAAATTGATAGCTTTATTAAAAGTTTCCACCAATACATTGTAACTGTAAGTGGATTCCCTTTTTTTTTTTTATTTCTTTGCTTTTGTCTGAAGGACCTTAGAAGAAGGGATCACCTTTAACGTTTTTTTGTTGGTCAATTCGAGGAAATTACCACCAATGTTAATCTCAATTCCCTTTTTTTTTTATGTTGTATGAATGTTTTAAATCTAAATAAAAATAAATTTCATATAAGTATTACAGTTTGTTAAACTAAATAAAAAATTTATATAATGAACCAGATTAAAAGTGATTAAAGCTTAAATTGATTCTTATTGTTATAAAAAGCTTTGGAGGCTGAATTGTAAAAATAATACAATCATACAAATAAAAGATTGTAAAACTTAAATACATAACTCTTTAAAATAATAATTACTGTAAGAAGAACAATAAATATAATTTATAAGATAAATAATATTAACACAAGTTTATATATTTCATTGGAAATATTAAGTTTAAGTTAGATAAAATCATGAGTGCTAATGTTGAGTATTTAATTTAGTTATATTTATTATAATTTAAACTTAATATCACATGTTAAATTATAATAAATCTATGTTGATTAATTCATGTGTTTGGTAATATTATTTTTATTTATTTTATTTTTTAATTAAATATTTTTTCCTCTATCAAGAATTTGTTATATTTTATAATTTTATCATTTTAATTATTATTTATTTTTTCTATTTTTTTATTTTTTTAACAAACTCATTTCACATATGACATTATTTGGTTGAGAAAAGAAATAAGAATATGAAATGTGAAAAATAAGTAAAAAAAGGTAGAAAGAAGTTTTTATATGTGAGAAAAATTTAAAAAAAATTATGAAAAATTTAACTTTTGTACTTAAAATTTATATTTTATGTTTTAAAAATCATCATTGATAAATGTTTGTTTTAATATTTTTTATAGACATTTTATTTACAATTTTTAGTACTTTATAAATTCTAACTGTTTTATCTCATTATTTTTATAATTTATTTAAATATTATACATATATATAAGAGATGCGTTGTTTAAATTAATAAAAATAAAAAAGAAAGAAATGATTTTTTACTTGTTTAAATAAATGAAAAAAAAAAGGTAAATTTATGTTAAATTTTTTTATAATAATAATAAATGTAAGTAAAAGTTAACAAAGTAATTTTTTTCTTAATAATTTTACTTTTATTATTTATATTATTTTAAAAATTACTTGATACTACAATAAAATAAAATAAAATAAAAATCTAACTTTCTCGTCCATTATCACAAGTTGGGGTGGAAGATTATTTTCTCGTGGGATCCACGAAATTATTTTCTTTCTAAGTACTGAAAAACAAATGCAACAAGCAATTAAAAAAAATATTATATTCACGCTAAAATCATTACGCGAGTTTCCTTTCCTTGCATTTTCCATACATCCAAACAAAGCATAAATAATTTTCATGGAACTTGCAAACCCCACGCATTCCTCTTCAATAGGAAAACCCTGAATGGTTGACACAATACACTGTTGAAAAATGAAAACCCAACCGCGTTAAGAACAAGTCAAACTCAACGGATGAAGATGAACCTCCAACAGAGGCCATGGGTCCACATCCATTTCGTGTAACTTCAATGCTGAAGAAAGCGTGAAATGAACCAGAGAATGACCTTAATCCACCCAAATAAATAAATAAATTTTAAGCCTTAAATTTTGATTATTATTAATTAATAAATAAAAAATTTCCATAAATGGTAGTGGTGGAGTTGCACTTCTTACATCCTCGACCACTGTTCTGCAATCTACTTGGTTCCCATTTTCTTCAATCAATTTTTGGGTTCTGGGTTTTCAGTGGTTCGTTCTAAAGTTTTAGACTACGTTAAAATCTAACCACTGTTTGGACTGTCATCATCATTCTTCTATTTACTGCAAATTTTCATTTTTTAGATTAAAAAAATCAATTTTTTGTCATTTTTTGGCACCTATTATGTGCTTGTGGACATTCAACAACATTTGGAGTTGTTCTTGATTGATTGCCCTTTGTTGTATTGATTGCCGTGGTTTCTAGAGTTGAAGGGGTTGAAAATGATGTTGCATTTTGAATACCTGTCAAAGCTGAAAACTAAGAAGGTATTTTGTATAAAGGGGTTTTTATATATAGTTTGGTGTTTTATATGATTTTGATTTCTGGGTCAGTGATATTGATTTTTTATTTTTTATCAGTATATAGTTTACTAAGTACTATGGAATTGTTAAAGATACCAAGGGAGAAATTTTAGTCTTAATACTTTGAAAATTAGGCTAACTTTCCTTGATACTGTCTTCTGGTATGAGTGTGAGCAATTGAGTATGCATAATTCTACTAACTGTATTGTGTTGACATTGTTTTACTGCGCAAAATAGGCTTACTGTTGAAAGGTAGGGACTTACATTTTGTTTAGAAGTTATGAATGTATTGTAACAAATTTATGTTATTGTTGTTGACATGCTTACTCGCAGCTGTCAGGAGCTGAGGACAAGTACTGCATATATTAATATAATGAAAATTTTCAATAGTAATATAACTATTGATATGTAGGAAAAATTTTCAACTTTGGGTGTAGACATGAATGTAGCTTCACCCCTGGCAGTAATTCTGTTTTAATTTGGTCTACATATTCCTCGGTTTATATTAGACGGTTTTTTGGGTTGTTTGTTACCCAAATCCATGTTAAAATGAATGGTTATGTCTTGCATCAGGATTGATGATTTCATCATTGTTAGTAGCACTGATTATAGATTTTCATGTTGTCAGATAGTGTTTGAGGATGCATATGCTGCGTGTGATTCTGCAACACTTGAGCATCTTAAGGAATTAAGCTCAAAGCGTCGAGCAATTGAAGATTCTGTTAACAAGAGCAGCTTCATTACAGAGGCTATTGCAAGAGAAATGTTTGGAGGATTGGAATCTCGCTATGAACAGGTAACTGCATATGCTGTGCTGTCTGTGTGAGCCCTTCAATTCCCATTATACTTGAATGGTATGCAAATGACAGTAATCTTGGTCTTTGATTCCAACTGTGCTTTTCTCTTTGTCCATGTGATTCCAATTGTGTTAATTGTGTCTGTTTTTTAGATAAATAATGCTCACAAAGTGAATGTTAACATCAACCTCATAGGAAGCGAAGGAAATAACAGAAGTCCAAACTTCAATTCCTCTTAGTTGGGGCAATTGTAAATCTTTTTAGGTCATTAGACTTAAGAATGGTTTTATGGAACTGATTTATTTTCTGTACATTCTTTTTGTGTGGCTAATAATGGTTTAGACCTAATAGTAATAATCAGTATATGGTAAATCACTCTAGTAGTACTGGTGAATTCTTGTGATTCTCTGTGAATATATTTATTTATTTTTGTCTGAGTTAGGATATTCACAAAATAGAGCAGTATCTACCATTACTGGAAAGTTTTTTATCCTATGCTGATGCTACAAGCAACGAAAACCAAATAGCTCAATGGATCGCGGTTCTTAACACCATGACTCTTAAGATATGCTGGAGTAGTGCTCTGAGATCATCTTCTTTCCTCAATTTTATGGGTCCTAAATTGTTCCAAATTAACAATTTGCGATTTGAGCTTGGTATGATCCTTTTTCTTTGTGGTGGAATAATGCGAGAGAGGGCTTTAGAAGTTTTACCGACAGGTATATGTTGAAAAACTCAAAAATCCCACTTCATAAGATAAATTTGTCATGTTAAATATGCTTATGTATGTCATCACTGGTTGATCTGTAGATTTGGTTCAATCTGCCACCATTTTTAGACAAGCTGCAGGCATTTATCATCACCTGGCACAAGATGTTCTTCCCCACTTACAGCCCGAGTTGCCACCAGAAAAGCCACCAGAAGCTCTTGCTGCAGTATCCACCATTATGAGCCTCATTTGCTTGGCTGAGGCCCAGGTTTGTGTTATGCTATTTTTCATGTTGTTTAGTTCTTATGGCTTGCATTGCAATCTGTCATATCATGAAACTTGATTACGTTATTTCTTAAAACTTCATATTATTTGTCCTAGTTTCTAAAATTGAAGTTCAGCAAGTTTTTTAGTTGTTAATAACTGGGATGTAATAACTGTCTAATAGGCAGTAACCATAAGAAAAGCTGAAGAGAAAGGTACTTCTTCAAGTCTCCTAGCAAAGTTACATCATGGTGTTACCCTTTTTCTTGAAGAAGCTATTGGGATTTTTCATACAGTTGTCACACAGTGCAAGGACATTTCGCCATGCTTATTGGTATGAATACCTACCTTTTTTCATATTGGTGGAAATCACCATCAATATCTGTTCCTTATCTCATTATAGTTTCTGTTAATCTTGTTTTAATTTGCACTATTGTTTCCACATGATTTGTTTTTGTATTTCTCCTAATTCATTTTAATCTTTTTCCTGGCCTCAACAAAAGAAAGAATTGTAGGAGGCAAAGGTAACTAATGAACCTTGATGCTTTTGTAGCATTTGGTGAAAATGAAGAGAGGATTGGTTTAGTAGTAATGAAATGGGTAAATTATTAACATGTGATGTATAGCCTAAAGGTATAAGACACCATTTTACAAGTATTTTTGTCAATGAAAGTCTTTTGTTGATGGTAGTCTCCTTTCTCTCTTGTTTCGCCTATGTTAATCATTTTATGTTTGTTTTTCCATTGCCACTGTGGTGTTGTTAAATTCTTCTTTAATGAATGCAGGAATTTATGTGTTTCTGCAAATGTTTACATGGGTTGAAAGGTCAGCAATATCATGCAGAGAGCCTGAAGGCATGTGGCCAAATAGGGGCTGCTATTGGAGTTCTTAGTTCTGCACTGATTGATGTAAAAAAGAAGATACCAAGAGAAGAGCCTTGGAAATCTAATTACCAAAAGCAAATTCAAGATGCTTCTGAAGTGCTCAGAAAGTTTGGGCATGAGAATGATTTTATTTGGCGTGAGAAGATCCCTTCAGGATATGAGATACCCTTGTCTCAGGGTAGCAAAATAGTCAGTTTTATACCTTATAGTCCAAAAAGATGGGAAGGACAACTCATTTTCAAGTAGAGGAAAAAGAAAAAGAGTTTGTTTCACATTATCTCATTTTACACCCTTTTGTAAAATGCCAAATCACATGACAAAAACAAGGAGAGAAAGAGAGTACAAGAGACTCTTTTCCAATGAATATAAAGATAAGTGTAAAGAATATGATGTGAGATAATCAAATTCCAAGAAAAAAATATTTGTAAAGCAAAACTCTAGTCTGTTTGACCAAGATGGTCTTGCCTCATCAAGGGTATTTTAATATTTACACCTTTATCGGACATCTAAAAATTAAAATGAATTTAATACCAATTGCACATGTAGTTATCTTTTCTCCAATAGAGATTGGTTGATCCAAAGATTTGCTATAATTAAGATGTATGAGCTGTGATTGGTAGCAGGTTTGGATTGGCACAAAATTTTATTAAAGTGGGTAAAACTCACTAGAAACTATAATTTCTTGTGTTTGTTGAATTTAATGTTTATACTAAACACCTCCCGTGAAGACTAGAAAGTTAACTGGTAATTGGTTTGTAAAATTGAATACTGAACTAACTTATAAATGTAAAATAACAAATAAAGACATTATTAATTTTTAGTTTAGAACTAAAAAAAATTACTAGTAACTATATATTTTAGCTATTTTACTGAACATAATTATTTTTGTTAAACAAATTTTTCAACTAATAAAATACATTTAAAACTAATTTATTTTTATCAAATCTTTTAAACTATTTGATTTCCCTTTTCAAATACTCTAAATTACAATACGCTATTGATCAATAGATTGATGCTACCTTTTCTGTGGCAAACAAATTTTATAATATTCAATCTCAATCCTGAAGCTCTAAAAAAGTAAGTTGAAAAAATATGTAATATTTTTTTCATAAATTTTATAATTTGAAATAGGGGGAATTGAAATAAGAATGATTGAAACAAAAAGGAAATAGAGTAAAAATGATATATTATTCGGATGAATAAAAATTAAAAGAAAAAATGATAAAAAGAATGAAAAGAAAGAAAGAATATAAAAATATTTTTTATAAGAATTTAAAATTTTAATGATATAGAAAGACAACTTAATTTTAGGATTAAAGGTTAGAGGAAAAAAATAAAAGAAATTGTTTAACATCATCTCATTTTACACCCTTTTGAAAATTGTGAAATTACATGATGACAAAGACAAAGAAAAGGAGTATAAGATTCTTTTTCAATGAAACATAAGAATAAAAAAATATGATGTGAGATAATCAAACATGTAAAGCAAATCTAAGTATGTTTGACCAAAATGGTCTTGTCAAGGATATTTTCTTTTTACTCTTTTATTGGGCATTAAAAAATGTAAATATGAGTTTAATATCGAGTGTATTTGTGGTTATCATTTTTCTTCATTTATTACATCGAGATTGATTAGGCCAAAATTTTACAATAATTAAGAGTTATAAATACTTTTGTGTCTAAGGCTTTAGTAACAAATAAATTTAGATTAGCATTAGAATTTTATAAATGCACCTAAACCAACTAGCAACTAATATTTCTTATGTTTGTGATGTGTATTAAGTTGACTTTAACAATATATCAAACACACGTTAAATCTAGTTCGAAGTTAAAAAGTAAAAAGTTTACTTAAAATTGAAAGTTGAAAAGTTAACTTATTAGCCTTTGAACTAACTTATAAATACAAAAATAACCAATACAAGCATCGTTAATTTTAAGTTTAGAATTAAAAAAACACTAATATTTTTAATTATTTTTATAAAATAAATTTTTAAGTTTGTTTGAATAAAGTAATTTAAAATTCTTCCTTTATATGCACTTAGACGGTAAAAAAAATATTTTAAAATTATTGTATAATTTTAACTAAATAATTTTGATGTCAAACAAAAAGAATTTCAATTAACTTATTTTTAAAGAGAATTTAAAAGTCTCACTACTATACTTAATTTTTTTCATACTTATTCCTCACTTAAAATATCTCTTTATTATTGATTTCATATTTTTTTTAAAAAAAATTATCCAAACACAGCATTAACTCATTTTACTTTTGTCAAATCTTTTGAGCAAACCCAATTGCCTTTCCAAATACAATACAAACTACAAAATGCTATTGATCCATGGATTATGCTACCCTTACTATGCCATACAAATTGTATAATATTCAATCTCAATCGAAGGTCTAAAAAAATAAGTTGAAAAACTATGCAATTGTTTTTTCACATATTTTATTGAAAATTATATAAAATAATTTGGAAGACTTAAACACATGTTTGGTCAAGATTTTTATTCATTATTTAAAAGTTGTCTTATAAAACTATCAAAATATTTTTTTACTCTAAAATGCTGATCGAAATCAAAACTAAGAAAGAGTACATACAGTCTTAAAACACATGTTATGACTTAAAAATAACATTTATTTATTGTTCTAATTAATTAAAAAGTAGTAAATATTTTGTATTAAATAATTTATATTTTTATTTGTAACTTAAAATAACCTCTCTCTTTTTCAATCTCTTCGAAATTGTAGTGTTTGTGCTGCCCAGAGACAAGTGGACAACGTTGACGATAACAGAGTTGAGTTAGTTGGAAATTAAAATTAAAGGGTCAGCATGCGACAAGTGGCACTCCCAGTATCATATCATATGCCACCGTAATAATAATAATAATAATAATAATAATATACTTGTATATTAAAGCTAAATATTGATATTTAAATAAACTTTTTTAACGTGTCATGTAATTTTTATATTAAGTATTTAATTTTTAACTGATTTTCGTTTTTCTTAAATAATATTTTAAATTTAATTTAATAAAAATATTATTTAATTGAATTTTAATTTTTAATAGAATATTTAATTTACTGTATAAATTTAATTATTTAATGTAATAAATATGGTCAATAATAAAATACATTTTAATTTATAAAATTTATTAAACTTTTAAAATTCATATAATATATATCTTTAATCTTATATTTAAAATTTATTTTAACTTACTAATGCCTTTACTGAATAGCCTGAAAAAGAAAAAGCGTTTGCTGAAAAGCGAAAAACATAAGGTGTGGTAGGAGTGGGGACTAAATCAAGAGCATCTTTGAACCATGGCCACGTTACAGTGCAATTCTCTTGCACTCATCAGACCGTGTCACTCGAGAAGAAGAAGACCCTTGTTGCACCCACTTCTCTCATCCACCTCTTTTGTTTCAAGTCTTGCCACTTCTTCAATTTGCACAAATTCCAGGTCAGAAATTTGTCTCTGTAGTTTGAGGTTTATGGTTGAAGGTGTTGTAGTCAATTAATGATGTGGTTCATTTGCAGGAGGTGTTGCGCTGTTTCTGCTGTGGTGTCAGAAGAAAACGCTGTTGGCTCCAGTTTCTCTGCAATTGATGTCTTCAAACTCACATATTTAGAGGTGTGTTATGGTTCTAATCCTTAGTTCTGTTTTGTTTCCAGAATTTTTTTTTTCTTTTTTAAGAATTTAATTGGAATACACTAGTATAAACATTTTTATACTGCTATCCAATAATAAATTTTCATGTAATTGAAATTTGATTTTTATAATTATTTAAAAAGTCGTATATAAGGTAATTTATAATTGGTTAATAGTATAAAAATATTTATAGTGATAGTCTATAAAAAATAAACTCTTTTTTAATATGTGCTTGTGATGCGCGCATGTAAAAGGTGAAAATTAAAAGCGATTCAATACATGTTTTTTTACAAGTAATTAGAAGTATTTAATGATTTTTAACATGAACCTTTGAACACAGATTATATATATATATATATATATATTTTAATTTCATTCTCTTAAACAATTTTAAAATTTCATATGTTTAAAGTTTTTAAAAATTTGTGAAGAAAACCTTTTTCTCATATCAATAAACCCATAAACTGTATTTAGTTTGATTATTTTCTACTTTGACATGGGTGAAGTTTTGGATTTAGGGAAACAGTTGGCTGTGGAATGTGGGTGGGGCAAAGATATTGGTTGATCCAATTTTGGTAGGTAACTTGGATTTTGGAATTCCTTGGCTATATGATGCTGCTAAGAAAGTGTTAAAGAAGTTCCAGGTATCTCTTGCTGGATGCTAGTTACTTGTTGATTCTAGTTACCTCTTTGTTATGCTTCTGTGCTGTCATGAAATTCATGATCTTGCCATAACCCATTTGCTTCTATAGTGCAGCTCAGTGATCTTCCGGAAATTGATTGCTTACTCATTACTCAAAGCCTTGATGATCACTGCCATTTGAAGACCTTAAAGCCCTTCTCTCAGAAATTCCCAGATATTAGAGTTATAGCAACTCCTAATGCCAAGGGTTTGCTAGATCCTCTTTTCAGAAATGTACGCATATTTTCTTTCTATCCTTCTTTCCTTTGGCTGGTGAAAATTCTAGAGTGTGTCTGTGTATTTGAATTTGAACCTTTGCCTTAATTACTTCATCTTTATATATCTAGTCGATATAGTTTGACTGCACATAAAACTTGGTTTGAGGATTTTGAAGAACATCCCCCTTCGCTTCTTCTTTGTGCTGTATCCTTTCAACATTTAGCATGTAATTGAAGCACTGGGTCATGACTCATAATTGAATCATCAGTTTGCCACTCAAGTTTTCACATAGTTTCTGTTATTTTCAGGTTACATATTTAGAACCTGGGCAGAGCTCTGATATTGAAACAAATTATGGTTCTGAGGTTAGCGTTAAGGCTACTGCAGGACCAGTCCTTGGACCTCCATGGCAACGCCCTGAGAATGGGTAAATGTTGTTAGAATATATGGAAATATCCAAAAATATCTTATGATATCTTAGATTATGCTCTAGGATTAGTTTATGTATTTTCTAATTATTTCTTACAATTGGTTAGCTTATTTTCTTATTTTAGCTCGTGATTTGTTTCCTCATTAGTCAGGATTATAATTAGCTTAAATAAGGATTATTCCTTTAGGCTTCGTGAGCTTGCCCTCACATTGTAATACAACTCCATTAATATCAATTCTCTTTTATCTCCCTTCCTCCCTCTATACCTAAAACACCATAACTTAAACAACTGTCAGTTTTTCTAGCATTTTTTTCCTTGTCTTTGTGCATTAGGTTTTATAACCACCTTATTTATTGTCGTATTACCCTTTCATATTTTCATTGAAATGCAAGTTAACATATTTTTTAATGGTTTTATGCTGCATGTGTCATAGGTATCTTGTTAGATCCCCACAAGGCCAATTGTCTCTCTACTATGAACCCCACTGTGTATATAATCAAAGTTTCATTGAGAAGGAAAAGGCAGATATTGTGATCACACCAGTCATAAAGCAGCTTTTGCCAAAGTTTACCTTGGTTTCTGGACAGGAAGATGCGGTGAAACTTGCAAAGCTGCTGCAAGCCAAGTAAACTTCTGTATTTAGTATTCACAGGCATCAACAAAAAATAAAAGCTGATGAATTCAAATGAGCCCATTGTAACAGACCCAAAAAAGTTTCATTCACAGCATAGACTTAAATACAAAAAAAAGATTTGTAACTTCTGATGCTAGAACAACTACATGACTACATTTGCTATGAAATAGAAACAAAAAGCAAAGTATTCGCATGAGTCAATTTTTGGGGGCCTAAAGGAAATTCTTAGTACAAAGGCATTTCCAATTTAGGAGCAATTAACCACTCAAGTGATTATGTCAATTAGTGGTTACTCCTTAACCCCAATATCATTAACTTAATTGTTCCTAATTGGAAACATTTTCCAAGAAGTCCTTTTTGGTTCCCTTGGAAGAATTCATTTAAACTTTGGCTCATTTTAGTGACTTTGACCTTATAATTTCTTGTTTAAATGTAATTGTTTCTCATAGTTCTTCTCTATGTATAAACATTGGTGTTTCCATGTTTGATAGGTTCATTGTGCCAATGAGAAATGGAGACCTAGATAGCAAAGGGCTTCTCGCAAGCATAATTTGTGCGGAAGGAACAGTAGAATCATTTAAGGTTAGAATCATCGAAGGTTGCTCCATATATACTTCTAAAAGGTCTCCGTGTAGGAAAACATTTTTATGTCCAATTGATAAAGGGACCAATGACAAATGGTTGCCATAAATAAGAACATGCGAATATATAGAATTTTTTGGTTACAAGAAGGAATATGTCACCATATTCTAGATAGAAAAATTGGATGTAACCTTTGCTACAAGGAGGGTTTTATTCGATTCATCAACAATTAAAGACTGACTTTTTGGGAGTAAAAGGAACGAGGTTCCTGTTACCACTGTGTTGAAGCACACTCATCTCATCAATTATAGCTTGTTTTTAGCTAGAATGGGCAAAGACATTACCTGTAGACTTAGGAATGGAAATAGAAGACAAAGAAGAAAGATAAGTGTAATAGAAAGGAAATAAACAATGATAACTGATATTAATATAATGAAAAAAGGATTATTAGTAAAATATATACCTTTATAGATTACAATGGAAAGGTTTAATTCTGGAAGTGGGGCTGAGGAGGGCAAATGATGTGGCATAAAAGGTGATTCAGTATAGTCAGTAGTGCAGGACAGTTATGTGTTGTGGGGAGTGCAGAGAGTTCATCTAGTCCAAGACTAGAATTGTGAATAAAACAAGGTGGAATCGAAGACCCGAAAAGGCAGGGGATGGAGGGGGTGTTATGGATATAAGACCTGTTGTGATATTTTTCCAATCTATCTCAATATGCTTAGATGCACATTTATTCTCTAACTTTATATACCTCTTTACTTTAGATGAGGCAAATCTACGGTGATTTTACATTCATTTTTTGTTAATCTTAACCAACAGAAGCTAGTTTTTCTAATGTCCGACGTTTAAATTATTAATACTAACTGGGAAATGAGTCAGTCTATTACTAATGATTTGGTTGTGGTAGTGGGATGAAAGCTAATATTAAATTTTATCCACAGTTTGTAATTGCTCTCAAGTATCATTCTTTTTGTTGTATGCTAAATGATTCTAATCTTGAAACCGTTATAAATGCAGGAACTATTATCAAAAGAATTACCGGATGCAAAGGTTTTAGAACCTACTCCGGGAGTGCCAGTAGAAATTTCAGCAAATTAATGCTGTAGTTCTTCTCTGCCCATTTCCCCCCACCTCCTCCCTTTTTCTTTGGGGGCCAAAAGTTACCACAGTTTTTCTCAGGCGAGGGATATATTGTGTGGTTGAATAACGACACTTATTGTAACATACCGATGATTACCCCTTCCCCCTGATACTATGTATATGTGTGATAGGTAGTCTAGAGCTAAATTATCGTTAGTTGATTATGTGATATGTTGATGATAGAGCTTTCTTGCTTATTTGAATAGGATAAAAGCCTTTATGATATATTAAAGTCGTTAAATTAAGTTTATGGTATCTATAGAAGTTTATTTAATTAGAATTGTTTTTTTTAATTAGGATTAGTTCTTAACAAGTTAAGTGAGTAAAAAATTAATTTTTATTGTTAATTTTTGCTTTAGTGGTGAGTTGATCAATGAAATTCTAACTTAGAGTTGTCACATAAGAGACCTTTATTTTAGTCAGCTATTTGAAATTGTTTTAAAATACAAACTTAAATAATTTTTTGGTTCTTATAAAAGTCATTGTATTTGAAATTAGTCTTTAAAAGCTTTGTTAGAAATAAGTTGGCTAATGACATTTTAGTTGAGCTTTTTTATGGGTCTAAGTATTCAACATATTCTTATCCTATTTAGTATATAAGCTATAAACTTTAATAATCATGTGCAGATATGGGAGTGTTAAGTTGATAATTGGGATAATGGTATATGAAATAGGATATTGACGTACTAATTAGAATAACGGTATACTGTATAAGTATTCAATATGCAATAATGCTGAATTAGAACTCCAATACTTAATAAACATATAGAGGTTGACAATAATGACAAATCTTCAACTTGTTTAATTTGTGAGAGGTTGAGCTCTAATAAATTTTTTAAAGAACCAATTCTAAATATAGAAACTTTTATAAGACCAAAAGTTAATTCGAGTCAAATAAAATTGTTTGATGGCATGCATGATTTTTTTTAGTAGAGAAACGCTCAATTATAAGTAGTCTTGGAGCTAGTATGATGTGAATCCTACCCAGAGACAAAATTAGCTATCATAGACCATAGTGACAGAGTGGTCTAGTTGAATACAAATTTGTACAATTGTACTTTGAAATTGCCATCCTAAATCATGTTTTCTTAATTACTTTCATTTAAAATATGAAGAAGGATTTTATAAATTCTATAAAGGTACTAAACTTATATTGTTAGTTTTTTTTTAAAAAAAAATTGAATGCTTTTTTAGTCATTCTTCTCTTCTCTTTTCTTACTTTTCATCCCTAAACTCTTTCTTTTTCTCTTGTTCCAAACTCTAAAAAAAAGCCTAAATATTGATGTAAGATTAGCAAGCCTAATAGATCAATAAGTTACATTAGCATGTTGATCTTGGATTCAAATATATATTATAAATATATATAAATAAAGATTTCTTAAAAGAAAATAAATGTTATACACTTTGAAGAATGAGCTTGATCAAAAGATATGTTTAAGAAAGAGTTTGATTAAGAGAACAAAGATAGTGTGATTTCTTTAAAGGTTTTCAATGAATGAAAAATGAATTAGAGTAGAGAGTACAAACCAACGCGTAATAATTTATTCTAGTTTACCTCTAAAAGGAAAGGAAGATGTTGTATTCAATCTTCACATTAGGTGTGATTTTTCATTCTATTCAACAAATATTACATAAGAGTACTCTCAAATCAACCTTTCCATGCTTGCACAACTAAGAATCCTTAAACGAGTCTCTCCAAACCTACAATTGGTATTCTTTCCATAGCAGTCAACTCACTCAAGTATAAAACCACTCCCGATACTCACATTTCCTTATTGGAATTTTCACAAAGTTGAATGTCAAAATGTCTTTTTGTACGTATCTACCCTTTATGGCTAAAAAAAAGTTCACCCACGACTTTGGAGAACCAATGCACTAGTTCTTTAACACTTAATTGTTCATATCTTATACAAATCCGACTTTGCACCTTTTTTTATATATATAGTTGCATGTACTAAAATAATCATGTTAATCATTACTTATTATATAAATTTAAATGACTGCGGTTGCTTCTGCCAAATTATTATCAGCTAAACTTAATCTATCTCCTTGGACATGTCCAAAAATTTTAGAACCATAGACCAAATTGATGTGTGAAGCTGAATTTAATATAGTTTACTAATCCACGTTTTATTCTTATAACATCCCAAACTGAAAATTTATTAATATTAAAATTTTATAATTAAATAATTGTAGTACTTCATTTTTAACAAATAATATGATTAATCCGTGTTAATTTATCTTTTAACTTATACATAAGAAAAGGTTAATTTATTATCTTACATGTATTTATTAAGAGAAATTATTCAAATTACTTCAGTCTTTGAAGGTCCAATACGGTGCGGCTCTCTTGAGAAGTTATAGGGACATGGAACTTTCACTTGATGATCAATAACTATGAAATTCCATCTCCAGCAGTAATGCAATGTACAAACTATCCTTTTTCTAGATCTCAGGGTCATCTTGCAACTTTGTACATTTTTTGGTTGTCTTCTGATATGATCACTCTTCTTCACATTAGAAAGCTATTGATTTTTTATCTTTATATTTTTAATAATCAGCTTATTATGGAAATCAATGTCCCACCAGCACATTTCGATAAGGATGAAATTGAGTCAAATCTAATACCTTAAACATTAAACACATTTTCTTTCTTAAATATAGTATTTGAATCTGACATTTTACTTAACATAAGAATTTATCTTAAAAGTCTTATTCGATCTGAACTGGGAAGTAGTATAGTTAAACATATTTCCATTTAAATAACCTTACAAGTAAAAGATGAAGATCAACACCCTTTTATCCATAAAAAATAGTCGATGATATATAATTTCCAAATAATAATAATAATAATAACCAATTCGTTAGATCTACAAGATTTTGAAAAGAAAACTAATTTATTTAATAAATAATCTTACTTTAAGGAATCATAAGGGTCACCTGACCCTATATTCACTCAAGGGCCAGATTTAGTATGACTAGTCTCTCCAATTATGTACTACCTCAAAACGACAATCCTTTAGTACAAAAGTCTGTGTACAAAGGATCCGTGTAATGTCATCTATTATATAATACCATGAACTTTTCAACCACAATGTTTATTCTTTGGCCAACATGCATGTGATTCAATTAATGATTGAAATACGTATAGTTCACTCTCTTGAAATGATTGAGAACTCAGAAGCACATGATCTATACAACTATATAGTCAAAACCAGACAAGATTTTGTTAAACCAGCACTGTGATTTATAAACATACATAGGTTCAAACAGTTCTCTTATTAAATAGTATGAACGAAAATATACTGTTCCATTATAAATCATGCTACAGTACAATATAAAAAAAATAGTTATGCTAAATCATGAACATCGTACAAAGAAAATATTTAAGGGAATTTTCATTAGGAATATCCATGACTTATTTAACTACTTAACACACATCATATATAGTGTATATGTGGCTGCTAGTTAATAGCTAGGCCCCATTATCACATGCACCAAATTTGTGTCACTTTTATAATAGTCAAATTATGCTAAATCTCTTGAACGATATGGAATCTTGGGCGAAGGTTAGGTTGGAGAAATCGGATCAAATAGTTTGGTTGCTGGTTCTTACAACCCACAAGAAGATAATATAAACAAAAGAGAATATACTGGTACATTCATTAGATAACTCACCAATTTAGAAAACAATATGCCCCTTTGTTCTGGAATATTCGGATGTGGACCATAGCACATTGGTGAGTTAGATGGCAATGTCATGTTACTTCGTTTTCCTCAGCAGATAGATATATATAGGCAATAAACTACGCACAGAAGGCTCCAATTGCAGCTTTTGTCCTCTTTTTTAGGTCGTTTCTTAAAATAATGCACAAATTGCTTTAAGCTGAAAGCAGGTGAATAATTAATATTTGAGCCAACGGGTTTGTTGGATCCCAGATTTTACATCTTTTAAAAGCAGTCATAGCAAATTATTGTCTTGCAAATAATAATAGTACTGCTATATGTAACTGTTGAATAAGAAAATTATTAAAATGATTATATTTTATGGTAATAAATGTATGTATTTTTATTTAATAATTAATTTTAAAATTTTAAAAATACATCAAAAGATATAGCAAAACTTATATAAATTATTTAACAAAAGCATTGGATCCTAAAATTCAATGGAACCTGTATGCATGCTTTATTTGGACAAACAAAAAAATGAAAACATAGAGAAAAAATTATGGATACTGATAGAATTTTTATTTTTTTTATGTTTTACTGATTATAAAATTTAAAATAATAAAAAATTAAAATTTTAGAAATACTATTTACTTTTTTCTTATTTTTCCTTTAGTTTTAATTTTAATTTTTTTCCTTATTATTGTCATGTTATGAAAAGAAAACAAGAGGAAAAAGGCATGTGAATTATATATACATCAAAATTGGTGTCTGGCTTTAGAGTATGTATATAAGCAAAAGAAGTTATTTAAAGGAAAAACGAAAAAGTGTTTTGAAAGAATAGAGTTAAAAGGGTTATTATATTTATACATTCAATAATTGATTGCGAAGAAGATAGAAGAGAAAAATAAATAAATAAAACATATTAGAAATAATGTGATAAATAAATCAATCAAAAGAAAAAAGTAAATGTAAAAATATAAATATAAAATATAATCATTAGAGTTAAAATTGATAATTTTCTTATTTCTACTTTACTATATATGCTGAAGTGATAGGAGTATTGTAAGAAAATTTAATTAATGAGCAGTGGTTTAATATTCAAACCAAAATGCATGCCGAATATTTATTTTTCCATCTTTCATAGTGATTGCGATATATATGCCTTTGCACTACTGAGGCAATGATAGGGTTGTTCCTTGTCACATATATAATTCTTAGTTGTGCATATTTTTTAATATATTTTAAATTATGTTAAATTTTATTAAAAATAAAAATATATAATTTTATTCTTTCCTATTTATAAATTAACATTTTTTATATTTTTGATAAATTTTAGTCAATAATTATAAGTATATTAAAAAATGTAAAAAAAAAAGTAATGTTATTTTATACAACTATATAATATAACTGCTTTTTAATTAGTATAAAATATTTAATATAAGCATTCAAAACAAGTGTTAAAATAGTATTATTCAAAAAATATGTTAAAAATTGTATAGCTGCCATTCCTTTTCTTTAGAAAAAGAAATATTCTTGATACTGAAACAGGATAACCAAAGTCGATCTTTTCTGTAAAGTTCATTACATGAATTAAAC